TGGACACAAGCCATGGTCAGCTCGCAGGATATATTGATATACTCTACATGTTCAGCCATAAGACTGAACAAACATTCGCCTATAAGAGCAATCAGCTCGCTACACTGCCAAGTATATACAAGGGTGAAGCTAGTATTAGCCAGGGCGTTCCAAGGCGTGGTTCCCTACTGCACGCAGGATATATCGATAAATCTTACTTATTTCTGCTGCTTCCCACGTGATGTATAGAGTCGGCATTCTTCAATACCCCCCTAAGATACAGTGATGGTAGGTGAAATGGGGTTTTACGTCGCGTTCAATGTTATTGCACTTATAAAGCGACGTGCATGCACTTCGTGTGTGTGTAGCTAATGACGGTTTCAAATGCTGACTTAGAGTCGACCAGTCCTTGTTTTAGCCCCTTAATGCTCTCCGGGCAGACCCTCTACCACAAGACCACGGGGGCAGTCACTAAAATAAGGAGTTTGGGAAAAATACGTTGTTGGGATCTGTTTGCATAAGAGTATCTAGCATTGAAACACTATATAATATGTCGGGAGATGTTATAGATGTTGAACAGATTTGGTGGGGACCCAGTTATGGTAATCGCGAGAGTGAAAAATTGTTCATTTAGAACATTAATGTGAACAGGTTAAATGTGAACTTTCATTTAATCGTTTGAGATATACATCAAAATACGCTTAAGTTGCCTCCCTCTTTAGATGTACAACCGCCACATGAAGCCAGAATACATTTGTTGCTACAGTTCCACCCTTATCCTTATTACCCAACCCCGTGCTAGTGGCTATCGTCCCACATCAAGCTGACACGCCGTAATATAACTGGAATACTGTTCAAAGTGGCGTTAAACGTAACACACTCACTCATTACCAAACCAGTGAAGAGGCGACTTTGTTGTTGAAAGAGACGACTAACGGGATCGGGTGGTCAGGCTTGCTGACTTGGTTGATGCATTTCATCGTATGCCAGTTGCGTAGATCGATGTTCACGATGTCAATCACTGGATTGCCCGGTCCAGACACGATTATTTACAGACCGCCGTCATATGGCTGGAATATTATAGGGTGAGGCGCAAAATCATAATCACTCACTCACTATTTTACTTGATTAAATACACCATGAACGTTGAGAGGAAGCAGCAGACATACAGACACGTATAGTTCACCTGAATCCGGTACGTGAACGGTTAATGCACACGAACAATGTCACATTGCATGGTCCGTGAAAAGTGATACAGTATTAATACTCCTCGCCTTCGTCACGAACATTAAACAATAATAATCAGGAAGGAACAATAATAACCAGGAAGGACAATTTGATAAAGAACCAAAATAATATTTTTAAAAAGCTTCAGTTGTCCACCCGAGCAGGAAATATATTGAGTGAAGTAGTGGACAGCATGCTTGTCACAGATGCTGCCCTTTAACACACATCGTCCCACGTCACAATCCATTTCCCGGCCTATAATTGCAATTGAAAATAACCAGACATCATTACAAGTGTACATAAAACAACCACTCAGCGACATGTGGGGATCAGCGTTTCAGCTTTCAAAATGTACAGACATGTCCTTCCCTTCCAACTCCTGCATCCATCCTTGGCGTGTTATATAACATATCTCCGACATAAACCGGATGTGAGAAGGAAGTTATACAACATGTCTCCGACATAAACCGGATGTGTGAAGGACGTTATACAACATACCACCGGCATAAACCGGATGTAAGAAGGAAGTTATACAACATATCTCCGACATAAACCGGATGTGTGAAGGACGTTATACAACATACCACCGGCATAAACCGGATGTAAGAAGGAAGTTATATAACATATCTCCGGCATAAACCGGATGTGAGAAGAAAGTTACACAAAATATCTCCGACATAAACCGGATGTGAGAAGGAAGTGATACAACATATCTCCGACATAAACCGGATGTGAGAAGGAAGTTATATAACATATCTCCGACATAAACCGGATGTAAGAAGAAAGTTACACAACATATCTCCGACATAAACCGGATGTGAGAAGGAAGTTATATAACATATCTCCGACATAAACCGGATGTAAGAAGGAAGTGATACAACATATCTCCGACATAAACCGGATGTGTGAAGGACGTTATACAACATACCACCGGCATAAACCGGATGTAAGAAGGAAGTTATACAACATATCTCCGACATAAACCGGATGTGTGAAGGACGTTATACAACATACCACCGGCATAAACCGGATGTAAGAAGGAAGTTATATAACATATCTCCGGCATAAACCGGATGTGAGAAGAAAGTTACACAACATATCTCCGACATAAACCGGATGTGAGAAGGAAGTGATACAACATATCTCCGACATAAACCGGATGTGAGAAGGAAGTTATATAACATATCTCCGACATAAACCGGATGTAAGAAGAAAGTTACACAACATATCTCCGACATAAACCGGATGTGAGAAGGAAGTTATATAACATATCTCCGGCATAAACCGGATGTGAGAAGAAAGTTACACAACATATCTCCGACATAAACCGGATGTGAGAAGGAAGTGATACAACATATCTCCGACATAAACCGGATGTGAGAAGGAAGTTATATAACATATCTCCGACATAAACCGGATGTAAGAAGAAAGTTACACAACATATCTCCGACATAAACCGGATGTGAGAAGGAAGTTATATAACATATCTCCGACATAAACCGGATGTAAGAAGGAAGTGATACAACATATCTCCGGCATAAACCGGATGTGAGAAGAAAGTTATACAACATATCTCCGACATAAACCGGATGTGAGAAGGAAGTTATATAACATATCTCCGACATAAACCGGATGTAAGAAGAAAGTTACACAACATATCTCCGACATAAACCGGATGTGAGAAGGAAGTGATACAACATATCTCCGGCATAAACCGGATGTGAGAAGAAAGTTATACAACATATCTCCGACATAAACCGGATGTGAGAAGGAAGTTATATAACATATCTCCGACATAAACCGGATGTGAGAAGGAAGTGATACAACATATCTCCGGCATAAACCGGATGTGAGAAGAAAGTTACACAACATATCTCCGGCATAAACCGGATACGAGAAGAAAGTTATACAACATATCTCCGACATAAACCGGATGTGAGAAGGAAGTTATACAACATATCTCCGACATAAACCGGATGCGGGAAGGAAGTTATATAACATATCTCCGACATAAACCGGATGTGAGAAGGAAGTGATACAACATATCTCCGACATAAACCGGATGTGAGAAGGAAGTGATACAACATATCTCCGGCATAAACCGGATGTGAGAAGAAAGTTACACAACATATCTCCGGCATAAACCGGATGTGAGAAGAAAGTTACACAACATATCTCCGGCATAAACCGGATACGAGAAGAAAGTTATACAACATATCTCCGACATAAACCGGACGAGAAGAAAGTTATACAACATATCTCCGACATAAACCGGACGAGAAGAAAGTTATAATACCTATTCTTGGCAAAAACATGACGCAAGAAGGAAGTTACATAACACATCTCTTTAACAACTTTAAGTAAGAAGTAAGTGATACACCATATTTCAGGTTTAAACATGATGTAAGAATGAATTCATGCAACATATCTCCGGCGTTAACTTCATGGTTTTATCCCCGCCATCTGCATGGGTAAGACGGTATTTATGCAACACATGCTTTGTGTGTACCCGCTGTAATAAGGAGTCCGTGACACATGTCACAAGTAACCGAGGGCAGTGACCGACTCGTGACATGTTGAGTTGCATATCAACTGACTTCAATTCAGGATATTTTTCAAGTATTAACCTGGCTTCAGATCCTGGGTTGTGAAAGTATCAACCATGAATGCCTAGCTGTTATCACTCCCAAAGGCCGTGATTCGAACCCAAAATCTATGTTGGTGACATCAGATATAAATGGACGACCGCCGCCGACAGCAAATCCGCCATGTGTGCAGTTGCGGACCCTTCTGTTGATCGATGCTACTCTCCTGCACGGCGCTGACGTCCCGTCGTGACGTCACTGTGTGGCTGCATTGATCGCCCATCCAAGACGGCAGACAGTCAAAGGCCCGTAACTCCTTCAGGAAAAATGTCACATTACAGTTTTCCACACGAAAACTATCCATATGTGTGGTTTATCGGTATACACGTCGCCAAATGTTTAAACTATTGGTTAAAGTTTGTTTGTTTAAAGCATTTTTTAGAACCTAATACATTGCTATTTACATCCCTTAGGTACGCATTCTTCAGATGAATCTACAACTCGAATCAAACTTAGATCCGCGGTTGTTTTTTTGTTACACATGTGCTAGTTTGGGTTGTATAGTAACAAGTACGTATAGTATTCTGGCTAAGTGTTGGCAAGTTGGTGACTTCTTGCCAATCACCCTGACGTAATCCCAACAACATAGACACTTTCTACACTGAGTGTTCATCCATGGGACCGACCAAGATTGAACAACCATCAGTTATTGGGGCGTTAATCACTACACGCGCATTACATTTAGGGGGCAGATGACAGTCCTATACCCAAGTCTCTACACCACCTTGTTTATTTGCCAATTCAAAGTGTGTGATGTAAATCAACGTAACAGTTTCCCTGTTTCAATTAAGACATTGTCACGCTTCAGAAAGGACAGTGCTTACACATAGACCTTGGCTGGAGTCCGGGACATATGCCTCCATTTTTTAAGTCCATATTCATGACAATATGGGATAATATACATCACAAAATATACAAAATTCCCTTTTTTTTAATATAAAGTCGATAAATATCCAATAAAGCATATGCTTGTTGCTTTTGATTTATATTTATTAAGCAAATAACTTGTTCATTCATTTGTTATTTGTCAGGTTATCGCCAAAACGAAAACATTGACATTACCTATCGACCAGCATACCCAATGCAAATATGGTGAGTGTAATGGTTCAAGGGAACTAACTCTTACTAGTACGCGACAACATTTGTGAGTTGCTGTGGGCGGTGGCATCTTAATTACCCTTCCAGGCTGTAATAGCGAGTTAATAAAAGTAGTTGTGATTCAACCGATGATTATCATATTTAGTACATTATTAGGAGACCTTTCCCCAAAGATTTCTTCCCACGACTTGAGGAAATACCAACCGCCATTGTTACCGATCGGTTGTGACTTTCAGCTGGGGAATTTCCGGAGTTATCGACTGGTATACGCTGCCAGACTTTTTGGTAGATCCCCGAACTTGGACACGCATTCGTATCGGGTTACTCCAAGAACGAACTGTGTGATGTGGCAGAGCTGAAACCATATCTTGAAAGCAAAGACGCTCAGTGCCAGTGTATTGCCAGCCAAACTCCACCGAGGGACAGTCGTCTGCTGAGGATGTCGTCTGCGACTTTACTTTGTTTTGTATTTGTTTTATCAGCAATTTCTCTCCAAGATATTCTGGCCGTCGAAAATGGTAAGTTGCCTTGTTATTCACCCATGTCTGACCACTGTCCAGATCTAGTTACTGTGGAAATACGTACGAGATCTCTTCATTTGTTTGTTACAAACACTTCGAAAGTTTATAAGAAATTATAATCCAAACTTTTGAATTTTCTGGAAAAAATCGTGTTTTGAACATGTTGAACCGATTAAAATATAACTTTGGGTGCGATCTAAATTATTGTATGATATCACGAGTATTGTACAGCGTTTAAGGATATACAAAGATAGCACGGAGGTTATACAAGTCCGTGAGTAGAGTTACGATTTTTTAAAAACCTGCTGATTACAAATAAATAATTGTTTTGTTGTTTCCGTTATGTTTAGCGTTCTTACGCTGGGAATAAAATAATATTTTACAACAGTTAATCTTCTAAACAGAAATATGAGGAAACCTGAATAAGGTCTATGTCCTAGTTCCAGCTATGTAAGCCAGAGAAGCTTGCATTGTTTATAATAAGTGTACGTGACTCCCACCATGTGGGGTGCTGCAGATCCATACCACCTGCCCCTACGGTGTTGCAGGTCCACACTCTGTTCAGCTTTGCGATGCAATTAATCTCATGCTCATAGACAGCTTACTTGCAAAAAGTTTTCTCTCAATGTGATGTGGAAGTGTATAGGATCTACTAGGAGGTGTATAAATAGCAGCCATGTAATGTTTTACTCTTGAAAGCTTGCTTCAGTCTGCTCCACTTGTAAAACTAATGATGTATGGGGCTGGGTTACCATGGCTAACATTGATGTTGACCTCCTTCACCTGCCATTATGTGCGATGCTCAAAGCTGGGTAAGTTCTTCTTGATGAAAAATTAATACATTTGTTCAGAAGCGTGATTGAGGTGAACTGACACTCATTGGCTGATAAACATAACAAAATGAATAGGTATTACTGCCATACACTTCACCTACATAGGTTTATTAAGTTTGAAAAGTTGAATATAATGTGTTATCTTTATCATGTTTATGTTACTTGTTCACCAGTTTTCAAAAGCTTTGTAACGTGTAAATATTCAACACAACTAGCAACACTGGGATGAAAAGTTTGCTGAATAGAAATGTTCTGACTGTATTTTGTGACAAACTGACACATTGATTCTACTTGTTCAATAGAAAGGGTGATATAGTCAATTATTTCCCATTTGGAAATGTGATATGGGAATGTGTATTAATATTATCTTTCTTCATCTTTGTCTAAGTACTGCCAGTGTTTGGATTGGTCTGTTATGGATGTTTGTAACATGTTGAATATGATCTGTTTGAGAATGTCCACAACATTCACGACAGCATGATTGGTGGGGTCATCTCATGTTCTGCTTCTGGCCTAGCATCATTATACACTGTTTCTATAGCAACATTATTTCTATTTCTGCTGGCCCTGTGGGGAATCCATGGTATACTAGGTCACCAGTAGCACATGCTTGTATTTATATACGTTTGTTCTTTAATGTCACCCCCAGTAATATTGAAACCATATGGCTGTGGTCTGTAAATAATGGAGTCTGCACCAGACAGTCCACTGATTAACATTATGAGCATTGATCCACAATTGGGATAACATGTAGTTGACCAAGTCACCTAGTCTAACCAAGTGACGCATTTAGTCACCTCTTATGACAAGCTGGGGACCTATATTCTTATCCGGATTCCCCATGGGTAATTGTCATGAAGGATGATTCATGGGGATCTGATGGTTACAATGTGTGACCTGGCTGCCCTCATGTCATTGTGCCCGGATGGTGCAGATCTTAGCTCATACTGTTAACACGGTCAAGCCCTATAGACTACTAGTTGGCTTTTTACAATAGGTCGAGGTATAGCTGTAATGTTGCTGGTAATATGATTCTCACTATCTCAAACAGTTTTGGCATTTTTGTAGAGGTTAAGTTAATTCTAAATTTTAAAACAGAAATAAAAATGAAATAATTCTTGTGTAAATTCTTGTGTGACAATTGTAATTATTACAATCTCTGACACTTTTATATTTCAGGGATACATGAATTTGGAAACAATACTTGTCTCAAATATTTTACTATGTTATATAAACAAAGACTTTGAATTGAGCTGTGAAACAGGTGCACTTAACCCAGGGCTCCTGTACCTGCAATTACTGACAAGTGCAATTTGAGCATGTAGAAACTATGTCCCCAGCTGCTAAGTCCAAAGTCATGTGTTTACCTGTGGGAGAAGTTATTTAGTTCATCACTCTTACACTGTGTTGACTTCTGGCATCTAATTACTGTAGCCTGTGAATGTCACTGTGACCTGCCTTAAAGGAACAGATGACGAGGGAGAAACAACACAGCTGTGAAACTTCCTGTTTGTTGACACATCTATCGAATGTTTGCAAAACTTGTAAAGTTCATAGTTCACAACAACACATATGTTGACTGGCCTTTGCATATGACCGCTGATGTGTGAAATCCATTAAAGCTGTTTGCTCTTGTATAGAGTGATAACCTGTGTGACATAATGTTGCAGATTAACAGTTCTCTCTGTCAGGTCCTAATGGTATCTTCTCATCTCCTGGCTGTTCCAGCTGTGTCCTATTGTGTAATCCTCCTCATGTCTGTAGTCTGTAGTACACAAAATATCCTATAAGCAGTACTTACAGAAAATTTCATTCAATATATATTTCAATGATCCATGACCATACACAGATTGTTCTTTATTTTTAACACTGATGAGGCTGTATCAGATGACCTTTTGTTCATATGAATTGATGTTTTGTCATTAGCTGTGATAACCAGACCCTGTGGAATCCCTTAACCTTTCACCTAGAGGTCAATATAGTTATGCAAATATTTTAGTCTCTAGGCTTTCATGTGTTGGTCTTTATTCAAAGCATAGTTCTCTGTAGAAACATGAAGTCTGGTTTTGTGGTCATTTACACTATATTCCAGCAACAGTTGAATGAAATATACCGTCACTTATGGCCAAACTAGCTCTTCATTATCATGTTTATATTCTAGCCATCCCCTCTTTATTACTCTGTGATTTACATATTATCCAAACAAGCATAAACTAACTTGAAACAATAGCACCGTAAGTAAGCCATTTTGGTCTGTAAACCTCAGAAACCCGAGTATATTTGGCTTCCATTTTTTGACCACGAGAAGAAACTGAGGGATTTGATTGGTCTTCTTTTTCTTTTCTTTTACAGGATTTAATGTTTATGTAAATTGATTACTTCTTATCAAAGGCATAAGCCTGACCTAATATGTTTGCAGGGCACTGTAGAAGTCAGAAGTGCCAATAACTGTAGTATTGCATAAATCTGTTTGTAATGATGACACCCAGTAAGGTGTGCTGGTGTCATTCGGTAAGGCCACTAGTGTGAGTTGAGAAGCCAGTATGCCATGTCTGGTATGTATAGTGCAGTGAGCATTGTCCCTGTTCCAGATCTGATGGTTGTGACAGTGGCAACAGATGAGACTGATGGCTTCAAGCGCTTCCAGAGATCAGTGAAGAAGTATGGATTGCAGTTAAAGGTAAGACGGTGTCCTCCCAAAACAAATTACATGCCAAAACACCTACAGCGTATAACAACAAAGTTCACAGTTGAATGCACACCTAATCCCCTGCCTGTTACCTTTGTCATTTTAATGGAATAACCCCAATGCCAAATGTTCTTTTAAGCGGCACAAGTGATTCTCTACCACAACCACATAGTCATTGAATTCAACAGCCCTGGGAACGTTGGGAGTGCCATCCATGGCTTCGATCCAGGTGTCTTGAGTAACTGCTTGTAGAAGCAGAGACAGTCCAGCGGCTCTTCTTATCCAGGCACACACTTCAAGGTCGTCTTTGCACGGAACGGCAAGTCCTAAGTCCTGTGTATTCCTCCAAATGGCTTGGTTTTAATGAAATAGGCATCCTTTGACATCAGCAGCGGGGAATTCTGCCTATACCAACTGTGGTCACTTTCCCTTTAGAGGTGGTTTTCACACACTTCCAGTGAATACAAGTCTGTCTCTCTACATTCTTGGTGGGACGATATCCATTAAATAAAACTTATGCACTTCCTTTCTGTGAAAATATAAACTCAAAATTCTGGAGACCGGGCATGTAGATTTGCAAATATACTCTTAATACAATTGGTTGAAATTGGCTTATTTAAATACTTTAGGTACATTCATGCTTCAACCTTCAACCTTCAACCTACTCAGTTTTAAACCACCTCTGTGTTTCCCAAACAGTGTTAAAATAAGCAAACCTGCTTGTTCACCAATTCAGGTTTCTTTAGAAATATAATATGCTTAAACAAACCAATCCATTTGGAAAGATTGACTGAAACTGAGTAAAAGATTATATTATCTTTTACTCAGTTTCAGTCAATCTTTCCAAATGTTAATCCAGCTTATCTTTACTTGGTTCATCCTTTACTCTAGTGGATCAATACGTCTTTGGGACTGTTCCATTATAAGTAGGTGAAATCCCTTTGTTGTTTTAATCAAGTGTAGGGGTACTGGGCAGTAGGTGTTTTGGGAGATAACTGGTAAGACATCTCCATTTTATCGTGATCAAGAAACACAGTCGCAGTGTCAAGTTGGACCAACTGAAGGGAAAGAATAGAGATGCTTTTGTGGGTCTTTTTATCTCAGAAATTTCTATTAAAAGACAATGTACTAAGGACACAAATTACAGTTCTTGCAGATGGAGCTAATGTAACAGCAGTACTCTTGTCGTCTCAATGATAAGGGAGTACTTGTTGGGTCAAAAGGGATTTATTTTCAGTGGGCGTAGAGTGAGAACTACACAGTAGTCCGGATCTGCCCTCGTCTCAGGGATGCAGGCTGGAACCTCCCTTATTGATGTACAATGAATAGCCCCTATATGATACAGTGAAGAGGTATCAGGGTATCCACATGATTGCAGAGAACATGCAAAAAGCTAGGTAACAAAGAGCACCTAAACACAGGCCAAGCCTGTGACCGACCCAGTGACAATAGCCATGAACCTAAGAACGAAATGGCTTAACAACCCAAGCTATAGACAGAACTAGCTTACCTGTGAATTAGTAGGTTTGTGCAAGTGCTGAATTTAAGGCCCAGTATTTAAGAAAATAAATGTTAAATATTTAGGTCAGCTTATTAATTTAATTCATGTTTGGTTACTATAATGATACTTTAAAATCTAACAATAGTCTATTTACAAGCATACTGCTACACTAATATGACTGTGTTGATGGTGAAGTCTGAGAACATGACCCTGCTGTGGCCTTGTTCAGCTCTCAATGAGTAACATGCTCCCGTGTTACAGGTGCTTGGAATGGGAGAAGAGTGGGACGGTGGTGATGTTGCCAACTACGCAGGTGGAGGACACAAGATCAACCTGCTGGCTGAAGGGCTGAAGAAGTACCAGGACAGGGAGGACCTGATGCTCATGTTTGTAGACAGGTGTGTTGGCTGCAGTGTCACGCTGCTCATGTTTGTAGACAGGTGTGTTGGCTGCACTGTCACGCTGCTCATGTTTGTAGACAGGTGTGTTGGCTGCAGTGTCACGCTGCTCATGTTTGTAGACAGGTGTGTTGGCTGCAGTGTCACGCTGCTCATGTTTGTAGACAGGTGTGTTGGCTGCAGTGTCACGCTGCTCATGTTTGTAGACAGGTGTGTTGGCTGCAGTGTCCCGCTGCTCATGTTTGTAGACAGGTGTGTTGGCTGCAGTGTCACGCTGCTCATGTTTGTAGACAGGTGTGTTGGCTGCACTGTCACGCTGCTCATGTTTGTAGACAGGTGTGTTGGCTGCAGTGTCACGCTGCTCATGTTTGTAGACAGGTGTGTTGGCTGCAGTGTCACGCTGCTCATGTTTGTAGACAGGTGTGTTGGCTGCACTGTCACGCTGCTCATGTTTGTAGACAGGTGTGTTGGCTGCACTGTCATGGAGCAGCCCAGCATTCTAACATGGCCAATAAGAAAGTCCATTACTAATAATGTTTCTTCACATGAAGACAGTTATTTACATGTCAGTCTTTGTTTTGATCTGAAAATAGTCAAATATATTGAAGGATTTTCAAATTACTTTAAACAGACTTCTGTTGTAGCAAAGCTGTTGCATTTGTAGTAGAAAACAAGTATCCCTATCTTTCAACCATTTGTAACAAGGGTAGGGTTGTTGTTAACCAACATTGTTTTCCATTTGCCGTAGGATGTTTTTAGAGTAAGATGAGTGAGTGTGTTGGGATTACCGTCATATCCACTAGTTGTGGGAGGAAAACCTGAAGTGGTCTCAGACGTTTAACACTTTGGTGAAACCACAAGGAAAGGTATGATGTTGACAAACCTAGATACATTATTGTGTGACCCGGGATTGAAACCCACAAACATAGGTTTCGTGGGACTGGCCAATACGTGCCCCTGGGCTAAGATGAAGATTTGCATTACTGAAAACTAATTTGTTTGGCTATTCCTCCTGCAGCTATGATGTCATCTTCAACAACGACCCAGACACCATCATTGAAAGGTTTAAGAAGTTTGATGCAAGGATAGTGTTTTCAGCAGAGGGATTCTGCTGGCCTGACAGGAGCCTGCAGGTTGGTAGAAGAGTGTGGAGAGAGTGGTGTTATGGGTCAGAAAGAATTGAACTAAGGCTCGTCCTACTGGGCGATCGATCTAATGTACATTTTCACCTCGCGCACGTTCTGAGTAATCACAACGAACTACATATCGCTCATATCATATATGGGTGACATACTTGGTAACTGTTACAGAAATAAACAGGGAGTGCATTTGCACAGTTGGTATTGCAACTAGTTTTTAAAGAGAGATTTATATTTATTGATTTTGTTGTGACTCATTACTGAAAATGTCAAAGCAATAATTAAAAGCTTATGAATTATTTTGTGAGGGAAATGCCTGAGTTTTTGATCGGGGATTGTGGGGTTGACGGTAATTTAATAATGACATAATTCAATTAACAAAGAGGCCCACAAAAAGAAACTTTCTCAAATACAGTAAGACCATAAAAAAAACCCAACTGTGCAAGACGCATAGTTGAGCAAGTATGAATGGGCAGAGATAAACGTAGATGGCGGGGACTGTCTGCCATATATAATACCCAGGTAATTAAGTTGTATTTGCATGTTCCTTGTCTGATCTACAGTAAACTACGTTTATAACGAACACGCTTATAACAAACTGATGGATATAACGAGCATATTTTTGGTCCCGGCCATTTGCTGTATATATGCTTATAACGAACTACGGTTATATCAAACTAACATCAGTGGTTCCTTTGAGTTCGTTATAAATGTAGTTTACTGTATGTCCTTCGTGTTATTCATGTATAATTATGTTTTTCAGGATCAGTATCCATCTGTGACTATTAATGAGAAGAGGTTTTTGAACTCTGGAGGTAAGATTCCAGTGAAGGAGATGTTGTGTTATTATTGTATGTACTTGTATGGAGTTGGGGGTCATCAGAGTGATGTGTTGAAGGACAAGTTGTACAATGTGAACGGTTGTATCTGACATTTGCCCAGGTGTTATGGGGTGTACCCAGGCTTGTGTCATGGTGTACACTGTAATAAGGAGGACTTGGACATGTTGTAATCATAGTTATAACATTTGTGAGGGGATGCACTATTAATAGAGTTTACCAAGGGCATACCACTGCTGTGTGGTTTGCCAAGAATATTTCCAATGTGATGTTATGTTGAGATATAGTAACGTGTGAGCTCTGTGCAGTATGCCAGGCTATGTATGAGATGCTGGACTGTAACATATGACTGTCTCCAGGTTATATAGGGTATGCCAGGGACATGTATGAGATGCTGGACTGTAACATATGACTGTCTGCAGGTTATATAGGGTATGCCAGGACATGTATGAGATGCTAGACTGTAACATATGACTGTCTCCAGGTTATATAGGGTATGCCAGGGATGGTGAGATGCTAGACTGTAACATATGACTGTCTCCAGGTTATATAGGGTATGCCAGGATATGTATGAGAAGCTGGACTGTAACATATGACTGTCTCCAGGTTATATAGGGTATGCCAGGGATGGTGAGATGCTAGACTGTAACATATGACTGTCTCCAGGTTATATAGGGTATGCCAGGGACATGTATCAGATGCTGGACTGTAACATATGACTGTCTCCAGGTTATATAGGGTATGCCAGGAGATGTATGAGATGCTGGACTGTAACATATCACTGTCTGCAGGTTATATAGGGTATGCCAGGATATGTATGAGATGCTGGACTGTAACTTATCACTGTTTCCAGGTTATATAGGGTATGCCAGGGACATGTATGAGATGCTGGACTGTAACATATGACTGTCTCCAGGTTATATAGGGTATGTCAGGGACATGTATGAGATGCTGGACTGTAACATATGACTGTTTCCAGGTTATATAGGGTATGTCAGGGACATGTATGAGATGCTGGACTGTAACATATGACTGTCTCCAGGTTATATAGGGTATGCCAGGGTATGTATGAGATGCTAGACTGTAACATATGACTGTCTCCAGGTTATATAGGGTATGCCAGGGACATGTATAAGATGCTAGACTGTAACATATGACTGTCTCCAGGTTATATAGGGTATGCCAGGACATGTATGAGATGCTGGACTGTAACATATGACTGTCTCCAGGTTATATAGGGTATGCCAGGGACATGTATAAGATCCTGGACTGTAACATATGACTGTCTCCAGGTTATATAGGGTATGCCAGTATATGTATGAGATGCTGGACTGTAACATATGACTGTCTGCAGGTTATATAGGGTATGCCAGGGACATGTATGAGATGCTGGACTGTAACATATGACTGTCTCCAGGTGATATAGGGTATGCCAGGGACATGTATGAGATGCTGGACTGTAACATATGACTGTCTCCAGGTTATATAGGGTATGCCAGGGACATGTATGAGATGCTGGACTGTAACATATGACTGTCTCCAGGTTATATAGGGTATGCCAGGATATGTATGAGATGCTGGACTCTAACATATGACTGTCTCCAGGTTATATAGGGTATGTCAGGGACATGTATAAGATCCTGGACTGTAACATATGACTGTCTCCAGGTTATATAGGGTATGTCAGGGACATGTATGAGATGCTGGACTGTAAGATATGACTGTCTCCAGGTTATATAGGGTATGCCAGGATATGTATGAGATGCTGGACTGTAACATATGACTGTCTCCAGGTTATATAGGGTATGTCAGGGACATGTATGAGATGCTGGACTGTAACATATGACTGTCTCCAGGTTATATAGGGTATGCCAGGGACATGTATAAGATCCTGGACTGTAACATATGACTGTCTCCAGGTTATATAGGGTATGCCAGGATATGTATGAGATGCTGGACTCTAACATATGACTGTCTCCAGGTTATATAGGGTATGTCAGGGACATGTATAAGATCCTGGACTGTAACATATGACTGTCTCCAGGTTATATAGGGTATGCCAGGAGATGTATGAGATGCTGGACTGTAACATATGACTGTCTCCAGGTTATATAGGGTATGCCAGGATATGTATGAGATGCTGGACTGTAACATATGACTGTCTCCAGGTTATATAGGGTATGCCAGGATATGTATGAGATGCTGGACTGTAAGATATGACTGTCTCCAGGTTATATAGGGTATGCCAGGATATGTATGAGATGCTGGACTCTAACATATGACTGTCTCCAGGTTATATAGGGTATGCCAGGACATGTATGAGATGCTGGACTGTAACATATGACTGTCTCCAGGTTATATAGGGTATGCCAGGGTATGTATGAGATGCTAGACTCTAACATATGACTGTCTCCAGATGATATAGGGTATGCCAGGGACATGTATGAGATGCTGGACTGTAACATATGACTGTTTCCAGGTTATATAGGGTATGCCAGGATATGTATGAGAAGCTGGACTGTAACATATGACTGTTTCCAGGTTATATAGGGTATGTCAGGGACATGTATGAGATGCTGGACTGTAACATATGACTGTCTCCAGGTTATATAGGGTATGCCAAGGACATGTATAAGATCCTGGACTGTAACATATGACTCTCTCCAGGTTATATAGGGTATGTCAGGGACATGTATGAGATGCTGGACTGTAAGATATGACTGTCTCCAGGTTATATAGGGTATGCCAGGATATGTATGAGATGCTGGACTGTAACATATGACTGTCTCCAGGTTATATAGGGTATGCCAGGGTATGTATGAGATGCTAGACTGTAACATATGACTGTCTCCAGGTGATATAGGGTATGCCAGGGACATGTATGAGATGCTGGACTCTAACATATGACTGTCTCCAGGTTATATAGGGTATGCCAGGATATGTATGAGATGCTGGACTGTAACATATGACTGTTTCCAGGTTATATAGGGTATGCCAGGATATGTATGAGAAGCTGGACTGTAACATATGACTGTTTCCAGGTTATATAGGGTATGCCAGGGACATGTATGAGATGCTGGACTGTAACATATGACTGTCTCCAGGTTATATAGGGTATGTCAGGGACATGTATGAGATGCTGGACTGTAACATATGACTGTTTCCAGGTTATATAGGGTATGTCAGGGACATGTATAAGATCCTGGACTGTAACATATGACTGTCTCCAGGTTATATAGGGTATGTCAGGGACATGTATGAGATGCTGGACTGTAACATATGACTGTCTCCAGGTTTTATAGGGTATGCCAGGATATGTATGAGATGCTGGACTGTAACATATGACTGTCTCCAGGTTATATAGGGTTTGTCAGGGACATGTATGAGATGCTGGACTGTAACATATGACTGTCTCCAGGTTATATAGGGTATGCCAGGGTATGTATGAGATGCTAGACTGTAACATATGACTGTCTCCAGGTTATATAGGGTATGCCAGGATATGTATGAGATGCTGGACTGTAACATATGACTGTCTCCAGGTTATATAGGGTATGTCAGGGACATGTATGAGATGCTGGACTGTAACATATGACTGTCTCCAGGTTATATAGGGTATGCCAGGGACATGTATAAGATCCTGGACTGTAACATATGACTGTCTCCAGGTTATATAGGGTATGCCAGGATATGTATGAGATGCTGGACTCTAACATATGACTGTCTCCAGGTTATATAGGGTATGTCAGGGACATGTATAAGATCCTGGACTGTAACATATGACTGTCTCCAGGTTATATAGGGTATGCCAGGAGATGTATGAGATGCTGGACTGTAACATATGACTGTCTCCAGGTTATATAGGGTATGCCAGGATATGTATGAGATGCTGGACTGTAACATATGACTGTCTCCAGGTTATATAGGGTATGCCAGGATATGTATGAGATGCTGGACTGTAAGATATGACTGTCTCCAGGTTATATAGGGTATGCCAGGATATGTATGAGATGCTGGACTGTAACATATGACTGTCTCCAGGTTATATAGGGTATGCCAGGGTATGTATGAGATGCTAGACTCTAACATATGACTGTCTCCAGATGATATAGGGTATGCCAGGGACATGTATGAGATGCTGGACTGTAACATATGACTGTTTCCAGGTTATATAGGGTATGCCAGGATATGTATGAGAAGCTGGACTGTAACATATGACTGTTTCCAGGTTATATAGGGTATGTCAGGGACATGTATGAGATGCTGGACTGTAACATATGACTGTCTCCAGGTTATATAGGGTATGCCAAGGACATGTATAAGATCCTGGACTGTAACATATGACTGTCTCCAGGTTATATAGGGTATGTCAGGGACATGTATGAGATGCTGGACTGTAACATATGACTGTCTCCAGGTTTTATAGGGTATGCCAGGATATGTATGAGATGCTGGACTGTAACATATGACTGTCTCCAGGTTATATAGGGTTTGTCAGGGACATGTATGAGATGCTGGACTGTAACATATGACTGTCTCCAGGTTATATAGGGTATGCCAGGGTATGTATGAGATGCTAGACTGTAACATATGACTGTCTGCAGGTTATATAGGGTATGCCAGGGTATGTATGAGATGCTAGACTCTAACATATGACTGTCTGCATGTTATATAGGGTATGCCAGGGACATGTATGAGATGCTGGACTGTAACATATGACTGTCTCCAGGTTATATAGGGTATGCCAGGGTATGTATGAGATGCTAGACTGTAACATATGACTGTCTGCAGGTTATATAGGGTATGCCAGGGTATGTATGAGATGCTAGACTGTAACATATGACTGTCTGCAGGTTATATAGGGTATGCCAGGGTATGTATGAGATGCTAGACTGTAACATATGACTGTCTGCAGGTTATATAGGGTATGCCAGGGTATGTATGAGATGCTAGACTGTAACATATGACTGTCTGCATGTTATATAGGGTATGCCAGGGACATGTATCAGATCCTGGACTGTAACATATGACTGACTGCAGGTTATATAGGGTATGCCAGGGTATGTATGAGATGCTAGACTGTAACATATGACTGTCTGCATGTTATATAGGGTATGCCAGGGACATGTATGAGATGCTGGACTGTAACATATGACTGTCTCCAGGTTATATAGGGTATGTCAGGGACATGTATGAGATGCTGGACTGTAACATATGACTGTTTCCAGGTTATATAGGGTATGTCAGGGACATGTATAAGATCCTGGACTGTAACATATGACTGTCTCCAGGTTATATAGATTAGGCCAGGATATGTATGAGATGCTGGACTGTAACATATGACTGTCTCCAGGTTATATAGGGTATGCCAGGGTATTATGAGATGCTAGACTGTAACATATGACTGTCTGCAGGTTATATAGGGTATGCCAAGGACATGTACGAGATGATCACACATGAGTCTGTGAGCAACCGAGATGACGACCAACTCTACTACACTAAGATCTTCCTGGACAAGAACTTGAGGGTGAGTAATGCTCTGTGCTGGATGTGAAAATGTTTTGTCTCTTACAGTTACTGACAGAGTAATGTCAATAATAAACCTACTTGTCTTGTCAACTAACCATGTTGACCAACCCTTGAGGGTTTCTAGTGTTGAGGGTCAACTCTTGTGTTTCAGGACAAGTGGAGGATTAAGCTTGACACTAGGTCAGAAATCTTCCAGAATCTTAATGGTGCTCTTGGTGAGTATAGCAATTATCTTCTAATCAGATTAACATTTAAAACTGTATAAAACCGAGCAAGGAATTTAATTTTTTTTTTTTCATATTGATATTATTTGGGATTGACAGTGTTGCAATTTAGAAGAAAGAAACATTGTTCATGATTGGGCTCTCTCTGTAGGTGAAGTTGTCATCAAGTCACTGGGGACCCGCAGTTATCTCTACAACCTCAAGTCAGGCACCTCCCCCACCGTCATACATGGGAATGGACCAATCAAGGTAGGACTACTTGCGCTATTCATCATGTGATCCAGAAGATATGTCAATCACAGTGGATCAAAGTTCACAATCTTTTGAATTGTCTCTCAGTTAAAGCACCTCTCATCAGATTGGTTCATCATTGTGTCACTACTGAAATCTGATGATCCGTTCTTTGTAGTATGCTTTGAACTGTTTTGAGTTTTTGTTCCTGCTCCAACACTGCTTGTTCACCTGTAGGCGGAGTTCAACCGTATGGCCAACTATCTTGCTGATGGCTGGACAATCCAGAATGGATGTCAAAGTTGTGAGGAAGATACCATCAGTCTAGAAGGGCTCAAGGTCAGTGGTATTCCAATATTACAGGAGGTTTAGAAATGGTCACTATTCCAGAGACAGTCACGATCTGGAAGGACAGTCAATTTTCTCTCATAATCTTGTTATGTTACATGAACCATTCCAGTGTTGCCATTTATTTCGGGTGGTGATGAGTTACACTGGATTGTGTCGGGGTGGTGATGAGTTACACTGGGTTGTGTCGGGGTGGTGATGAGTTACACTGGATTGTGTCGGGGTGGTGATGAGTTACACTGGGTTTTGTCAGGGTGGTGATGAGTTACACTGGGTTGTGTCGGGGTGGTGATGAGTTACACTGGATTGTGTCAGGGTGGTGATGAGTTACACTGGGTTGTGTCGGGGTGGTGATGAGTTACACTGGATTGTGTCGGGGTGGTGATGAGTTACACTGGATTGTGTCAGGGTGGTGATGAGTTACACTGGGTTGTGTCGGGGTGGTGATGAGTTACACTGGATTGTGTCAGGGTGGTGATGAGTTACACTGGGTTGTGTCGGGGTGGTGATGAGTTACACTGGGTTGTGTCGGGGTGGTGATGAGTTACACTGGGTTGTGTCGGGGTGGTGATGAGTTACACTGGGTTGTGTCAGGGTGGTGATGAGTTACACTGGGTTGTGTCGGGGTGGTGATGAGTTACACTGGGTTGTGTCAGGGTGGTGATGAGTTACACTGGATTGTGTCCGGGTGGTGATGAGTTGCACTGGATTGCACTGGATTGCACTGGATTGCTCTGGGTTTTGTCTTGGTGGTGATGAATCATCTGTTCTCCCTTCCAGGAGGAGGACTACCCGACAGTGCTTGTTGCCCTGTTCATTGAGAGACCAACACCATTCTTGGAGGAGTTTTTTGAAGGAGTAGCCAATCAGAACTACCCAAAGTCCAGGATCGACCTGTATGTTCACAACTTGGTAAGTATTCCTGACATATCCAGATGTATTGGATGTGTTTCTCTTAGGATAGGAGGGAATGGGTTGGGGATCCAACACGATAGTTACGGAGAAAGTGTCATGATTGTTGTACATTTTCGACAGCTAAGTGGATGTGTCGGAAGATTTACTTTCATTCCACATTACAATCTCATAAAAATCTTTTTCTCCTGATAAGCAAATAAGTGTCAAGGCTTCTTGTTTCTTAGTAAAAGAGGACAAGACATTCACACCAGCATATCTGATTCCTCTATCTCAAAAACGAACTAAAATGACAAGTTCTGAAATGTAAATCTGTTAAGGTGTTTCATAACCAGGTGTAAGAAAACTTATACATTTCTCTCAATTACTCTCTTCCTTCCTCTTGGCACTTTTCTCCCTCCTTCCCAAACATCCTTTCATCCAGGTCCCCAAAGCTGCCAATGTTTTCTTGTGATGAAACCCTTCAGAAGACACTTGCACATATTCTTGCTAATGCATATCATACCTGCCTGAAGTTTCAATTGGAAATATGTTCCTTGATGACATGTAGATATTTGTATTGCTTCTGGGTATCGTAGAAGTATAGCAGGCCTAAGCTGATGTATTTATGTCAGGATGTTAATAAAGGTAGACAACTCTTACATTATATGTTAGTTTGAATATGACCCTATTGTTGCAGACATGTGCCGGTAGTAAGCATCTTCTTGGAGATGTGTGTTTGAACTGAACAAACAGGACTTTCACACATTGACTATTTTTTCAAAGTAGCTACATTCACTTAAAATCCTAGATAAATTCCGAGGCATGCACTGTATCATGTATTTGATGGATGTGTAACCATTGTAACTTATGGTGCTTATGTAACAGGAAGACATTCACAGAAAGACAGTGGAGGTGTTCATCGATGAATATCAGGATGATTACCAGTCTGTGACATCCATAGGACCTTATGATGGAGTTGGAGAAGCCATGGGCAGGAACTGGGCCATGTGAGTTGATTCATGATCGTTGGACTGCTTTCCACATAACCATGTTGTTTATGTTATCTGCAAGGCTTCTAAAACTAGGCTAATGAAACAGGGCTAAGGACTCTAGGCTAATGAAACAAGGCTAATGACTCTTGGCTAATGAAACAAGGCTAATGACACAAGGCTGATGGCTCTAGGCTAATGAAACAAGGCTGATGACTCTAGGCTAATGAAACAAGGCTAATGACTCTAGGCTAATGAAACAGGGCTAAGGACTCTAGGCTAATGAAACAAGGCTTATGACTCTAGGCTAATGAAACAAGGCTAATGACTCTAGGCTAATGAAACAAGGCTAATGACTCTTGGCTAATGAAACAAGGCTAATGACACAAGGCTGATGGCTCTAGGCTAATGAAACAAGGCTGATGACTCCAGGCTAATGACACAAGGCTTATGACTCTTGGCTGATGCAACAAGGCTAATGATGCTAGGCTAATGAAACAAGGCTAATGAAACTGGGATAAGGTTGCTAAGTGTCTTCTAAATGGACCATCTGTGGTAGCAGTTATTTTCCACATGTTTGTGAGGGTTGCAATTTTTCTTATTTTTGTTCGGGCTACATACAAGAATCTGAAGCAGAGAAAACAACCTAAATGAGTTGACAGTACCTTCTTTGCTCACACTGTAATGTGATAGGAACAATCATACTCTTTGCAGAGCTGAGTGTATCAAGAAGAACTGCAATTATCTGTTGGTAATGGACTCTGATGCCCGATATGAGGAACCAGAAACTTTGAAACTGCTTATTCAGCAAAACAGGTAACTTGTGCCTTCTCGTCTCCATGCTACTTGATACTTCTGCCTATACTGTTCTGCAGGCTGTATATAGAGGCATTATATGAAGTCAAATCATCTTTTGTTTGGTAACTGGAATATTTGGGGAATGATAATGAAGTATTTTGTCCTGCTGCTAGGTCTGTGATAGCGCCGCTGGTGGCGAGAGTGGGCAAGCTGTGGTCCAACTTCTGGGGTGCCCTGGGAGCAAAAGGATTCTATGCCAGATCTGAAGATTATGCAGACATAGTGGAGACTAAGAAAGTGTAAGTAATTAAGGCCTCTAGCAGTGGACCAAAGGTGCCCGGTGCAGGACCTTAGTGTGATGTATTCGCTTTCTTTGCGGTTTTTGCATTATCTTCCTAGATAACCAGTTTGAAAAAAAACCCCTCTATATCAGCTCATTTCCATGCAGGGGCCTGTGGAATGTGCCATTCATCAGCTCCACATACCTGGTGCAGGGACAGAGACTGCCCAACCTCAGGAACGCATACTCCATCAACTCCGAACTGGACCCAGACATGTCCTTCACCAAACATGTCCGAGATCAGGTCAGCTAAGTAGTGGTTGGTCCTTTTACCAAGTATATGCAATGACTGCACACCAGCTTTGTTTGTGGTCTGCCCGTGTATCGTCTCATAGCAGGGTTGGATTGTCAGGTTTGTCTTCCAGTAGAAACAGTGAAAGTTGTCAGTGATGAGTGCCCAGAGAGGCATGTTATATCCTTTGTTGCAAGTTAACAAACGTCACACACAATAACAGTTGTCAGTGATGAGTAAGTGCCCAGAGAGGCATGTTATATCCTATGTTGCAAGTTAACAAACGTCACACACGATAACAGTTGTCAGTGATGAGTGCCCAGAGAGGCATGTTATATCCTATGTTGCAAGCAAACAAACGTCACACACAATAACAGTTGTCAGTGATGAGTAAGTGCCCAGAGAGGCATGTTATATCCTATGTTGCAAGTTAACAAACGTCACACACGATAACAGTTGTCAGTGATGAGTGCCCAGAGAGGCATGTTATATCCTATGTTGCAAGTTAACAAACGTCAAACACAATAACAGTTGTCAGTGATGAGTAAGTGCCCAGAGAGGCATGTTATATCCTATGTTGCAAGCAAACAAACGTCACACACAATTACAGTTGTCAGTGATGAGTAAGTGCCCAGAGAGGCATGTTATATCCTATGTTGCAAGTTAACAAACGTCACACACAATTACAGTTGTCAGTGATGAGTAAGTGCCCAGAGAGGCATGTTATATCCTATGTAGCAAGTTAACAAACGTCACACACAATAACAGTTCTCAGTGATGAGTAAGTGCCCAGAGAGGCATGTTATATCCTATGTTGCAAGCAAACAAACGTCACACACAATAACAGTTGTCAGTGATGAGTGCCCAGAGAGGCATGTTATATCCTATGTTGCAAGTTAACAAACGTCACACACGATAACAGTTGTCAGTGATGAGTGCCCAGAGAGGCATGTTATATCCTATGTTGCAAGTTAACAAACGTCACACACGATAACAGTTGTCAGTGATGAGTGCCCAGAGAGGCATGTTATATCCTATGTTGCAAGTTAACAAACGTCACACACGATAACAGTTGTCAGTGATGAGTGCCCAGAGAGGCATGTTATATCCTATGTTGCAAGTTAACAAACGTCACACACAATAACAGTTGTCAGTGATGAGTAAGTGCCCAGAGAGGCATGTTATATCCTATGTAGCAAGTTAACAAACGTCACACACAATTACAGTTGTCAGTGATGAGTAAGTGCCCAGAGAGGCATGTTATATCCTATGTAGCAAGTTAACAAACGTCACACACAATTACAGTTGTCAGTGATGAGTGCCCAGAGAGGCATGTTATATCCTATGTTGCAAGCAAACAAACGTCACACACAATAACAGTTGTCAGTGATGAGTGCCCAGAGAGGCATGTTATATCCTATGTTGCAAGTTAACAAACGTCACACACAATATCAGTTGTCAGTGATGAGTGCCCAGAGAGGCATGTTATATCCTATGTTGCAAGTTAACAAACGTCACACACAATAACAGTTGTCAGTGATGAGTAAGTGCCCAGAGAGGCATGTTATATCCTATGTAGCAAGTTAACAAACGTCACACACAATTACAGTTGTCAGTGATGAGTGCCCAGAGAGGCATGTTATATCCTATGTTGCAAGTTAACAAACGTCACACACAATATCAGTTGTCAGTGATGAGTGCCCAGAGAGGCATGTTATATCCTATGTTGCAAGTTAACAAACGTCACACACAATAACAGTTGTCAGTGATGAGTAAGTGCCCAGAGAGGCATGTTATATCCTATGTAGCAAGTTAACAAACGTCACACACAATATCAGTTGTCAGTGATGAGTGCCCAGAGAGGCATGTTATATCCTATGTTGCAAGTTAACAAACGTCACACACAATAACAGTTGTCAGTGATGAGTGCCCAGAGAGGCATGTTATATCCTATGTTGCAAACAAACAAACGTCACACACGTAACTGTTGCAGTCGATTTAATTTACAAGCATTGTAACATATTCCAACTTGAATTGAATTCTCATGTTTTAGGGCGCCTTCATGTATGTGACAAACAGACAGCACTATGGACACCTGGTAGAGTTTGACCACTATGAGACGGACCACTATGTCAATGACATGTTCGACATGTTCAACAACCCCATGGTCAGTATGACAACCTGCTAAAGCACCACTTTGTCAGTTGGTGGAGGATGAGTTTAACATACACTGTCTGTATCAGTGTATCAGCACAATGTAGTTGGTTGTGGAAGCTAGACATTGCTTTATCCCTTCTGGAATCATTTATAAACCAGTCTCTCCCTTTAGTTTATTCACCGTCTTGTTCATTTCTTGAGTCGTAGGAAGATTCTGACTTCAGTTTCATCTGTGTTACCAGGAATGGGAGAAAAGGTACATTCACGCTGACTATGCCAAGGCTTTGAAAGAAGATGCTGACGTTTTGCAGGTTTGTGGACCAACTGGTTGCAGACAAGTACAGCTTATTTACTCATGTGATATCTAGGGGCAGTGCTAGTAACTTTAAACTGGTCATGGTCAGACCAAACGTCATTGCCCGACTTGAAAACGCATCAATGAATTTTTAAAAACACCCTTTGTTTTGGAGACAGTCACACATGAAGTCCATTTGAATAGAGAGCCAAATTGTACAATATTACACTCACATGACTGGGCTAAACTTTGGTTATTTTCCAGATAACTTTTAAGAGACTAAAACTGATCTTACATATTTGTGGATTTGGGTGAAAAATAAGTTTTTTGAGACAGTGTTTTCAGTTACTAAATAATCGGGACTGTTAATAGTAAGGGACTGATGTGATGTGAATCTACTATTTCCCAAATTCCCCAACATCAACTAAAACTCCTGTTGTAAGGCCATGTTAGCGTAACCATGGTAACTGTCATAATTCTTTGATGATTTATGTGTAAGGAGACACAGATCATTTTGACAGCTATTGGTGTCATTGTTACTGGTGTCACAGGAGGAATGCCTGAACATTTACTGCATATAGTGGGCAGGGAGGATTTCTGGTTTCAAGCTTGCAATGTTCAACATGTTCAGTGAAATAAAACATGAATGTTTGATGTATAATTGTGAAGTCTTTAACCATATTTCATTGTGATGCCATTTTGTGATAATCATGGAACTTAACAGTAGACTTTTATGGAAAGCAGTGCTTTTGTAACCAAGGTGTTTGTTTATCCGTAACGTCTTTGTCTGTTTCCCTTTCAGCCATGTCCTGATGTATTTTGGTTCCCTGTTGTAACTGAACGATTTTGTCAAGACTTCATAGACACAATGGAAAACTATGGACAATGGTCAGGTGGAAAAAATAAGGTATGCAAGTACACAAGTCAGTCAAGTCAGTCAGACACACCTTACCCTCACTTATACACACAGTGGTGTCAGTCAGTCAGACACGAACATACCTTACCCTCACTCATACACACAGTGGTGTCTGTCAGACATGAACACACCCTACCCTCACTCATACACACAGTGGAGTCTGTCAGACATGAACACACCTTACCCTCACTTATACACACAGTGGTGTCAGTCAGTCAGACACGAACATACCTTACCCTCACTCATACACACAGTGGAGTCTGTCAGACATGAACACACCTTACCCTCACTCATACACACAGGGGAGTCAGCCAGACATGAACACACCTTACCCTCACTCATACACACAGTGGAATCTGTCAGTCAGACATGAACACACCTTACCCTCACTCATACACACAGTGGAATCTGTCAGTCAGACATGAACACACCTTACCCTCACTCATACACACACGACTGCCTCCGTGGTCTAGTGGTAGAGCGTCCGCCCGGAGAGCGAAAAGTCCGGGGTTCAATCCCCGGCCGCGTCATACCAAAAGACGTTAAAAGATGGTACTTGTTGTTACCCTGTCTGGCGCTCGGCATTAAAGGGCTCAAACAAGGACTGGTCGGCTCGGAGTCAGTATACTGTGTCTGAGTGGGGTATTCATGTTAAACTGCGGCATGGTATCTCAGTGTGCTAGCACTATCAATCGGCATCAGTCTGGACTAGTACATGCAGCCACACACACACGTGCATGCACGTCACTATATAAGTGCAATAATCTTGGACGCGACGTTAAACCCCATTTCACCTCACCTCACCTCACCTCACCTCACCTCATACACACAGTGGTGTCTGTCAGACATGAACACACCCTACCCTCACTCGTACACACAGTGGTGTCTGTCAGTCAGACACGAACACATCTTACCCTCACTCATACACACAGTGGTGTCTGTCTGTCAGACATGAACACACCTTACCCTCACTCATACACAAAGTGGAGTCAGCCAGACATGAACACACCCTACCCTCACTCATACACACAGTGGAGTCAGCCAGACATGAACACACCCTACCCTCACTCATACACACAGTGGAGTCAGCCAGATACGAACACACCCTACCCTCACTCATACACACAGTGGTGTCTGTCAGTTAGACATGAACACACCTTACCCTCACTCATACACACAGTGGTGTCTGTCAGTCAGACACGAACACATCTTACCCTCACTCATACACACAGTGGTGTCTGTCAGTTAGACATGAACACACCTTACCCTCACTCATACACACAGTGGTGTCTGTCAGTCAGACACGAACACACCCTACCCTCACTCGTGGTGTCTGTCAGTCAGACACGAACACACCCTACCCTCACTCGTGGTGTCTGTCAGTCAGACACGAACACATCTTACCCTCACTCATACACACAGTGGTGTCTGTCAGTCAGACACGAACACATCTTACCCTCACTCATACACACAGTGGTGTCTGTCAGTTAGACACGAACACACCCTACCCTCACTCATACACACCGAGGTGCTATCTGCCATGACATTTTCAAATCCTGCACTTTGGTTAGTCACCCAATGAAATTGAATCAACACTGAGCTATAATAATGTTGATACCCACAAAAGAAAAATGTTCTTTGAAAAACCGTCTCTGGTCAGAAATCTGTCTGGTAGGCAGTTACACACCTGATTTTACTCTGTAAATATTATGAGATACTGTTTTGAAGTTTATTTTTAACAGAATGTTGGGAGATATATACTTTAGAAGGAGAATTTCATGATCAATGGGTGTATTGTAAATTTAATTAACAGCGGATCCACATGCAATCCACATTGTTCTCATCTATCTCAGCAATGAGAATTTTTGTTGTAATTGAATCCTCTGTGTTGCAGGACCCCAGACTTGCCACTGGCTATGAGAATGTCCCTACTGTAGACATACACATGAACCAAGTGGGCTTTGAGAGACATTGGCTGCATTTCCTGCACAAATATGTCCGCCCCCTGCAGGAAAGAGTCTTCGAAGGTTACTTCCATGATGTAAGTGTTGCTGGCTATAGTTGTACTAGGTGTTCCTGGCTATGGTTGTTCTAGGTGTTCCTGGCTAAAGTTGTTCTAGGTGTTCCTGGCGATGGCTGTTCTAGGTGTTGCTGGCCGTAGTTGTTCTATATATAGGTGTTCCTGGCTATGGTTGTTCTAGGTGTTCCTGGCTAAAGTTGTTCTAGGTGTTCCTGGCGATGGCTGTTCTAGGTGTTGCTGGCCGTAGTTGTTCTAGGTGTTCCTGGCTATAGTTGTTCTAGGTGTTCCTGGCTATAGTTCTTCTAGGTGTTCCTGGCAATGGCTGTTCTAGGTGTTGCTGGCCATAGTTGTTCTAGGTGTTACTGGCCATAGGTGTTCCTGGCTATAGTTGTTCTAGGTGTTCCTGCCTATAGTGGTTCTAGGTATTCCTGGCTAAAGCTGTGGTGAGTGTGAGGGCTGTTCTAGGTGTTCCTGGCTATAGCTGTGATGAGTGTCGAGAGCTGTTCTAGGTGTTCCTGGCCATAGCTGTGATGAGTGTTGAGAGCTGTTCTAGGTGTTCCTGGCTATAGGTGTTGCTGGCTATAGCTGTGATGAGTGTTGAGAGCTGTTCCATGATGTGTTCCTGGCTATAGCTGTGATGAATGTTGAGAGCTGTTCTAGGTGTTTCTGGCCAGAGCTGTGATGAGTGTTGAGAGCTGTTCTAGGTGTTCCTGGCTATGGCTGTTCTAGGGGTTCCTGGCTATAGCTGTTCTAGGTGTTGCTGGCCAGAGCTGTGATGAGTGTTGAGAGCTGTCCAAGGTGTTCCTGGCTATAGCTGTGATGAATGTTGAGAGCTGTTCTAGGTGTTCCTGGCTATGGCTGTTCTAGGGGTTCCTGGCTATAGCTGTTCTAGGTGTTGCTGGCCAGAGCTGTGATGAGTGTTGAGAGCTGTCCAAGGTGTTCCTGGCTATAGCTGTGATGAATGTTGAGAGCTGTTCTAGGTGTTCCTGGCCAGAGCTGTGATGAGTGTTGAGAGCTGTTCAAGGTGTTCCTGGCTATAGTTGTTCTAGGTGTTCCTGCCTATAGTGGTTCTAGGTGTTCCTGGCTAAAGCTGTGGTGAGTGTTGAGGGCTGTTCTAGGTGTTCCTGGTTATAGCTGTGATGAGTGTCAAGAGCTGTTCTAGGTGTTCCTGGCCATAGCTGTGATGAGTGTTGAGAGCTGTTCTAGGTGTTCCTGGCCAGAGCTGTGATGAGTGTTGAGAGCTGTTCAAGGTGTTCCTGGCTATAGTTGTTCTAGGTGTTCCTGCCTATAGTGGTTCTAGGTGTTCCTGGCTAAAGCTGTGGTGAGTATTGAGGGCTGTTCTAGGTGTTCCTGGTTATAGCTGTGATGAGTGTCAAGAGCTGTTCTAGGTGTTCCTGGCCATAGCTGTGATGAGTGTTGAGAGCTGTTCTAGGTGTTCCTGGCCAGAGCTGTGATGAGTGTTGAGAGCTGTTCAAGGTGTTCCTGGCTATAGTTGTTCTAGGTGTTCCTGGCTATAGCTGTGATGAAAGTTGAGAGCTGTTCTAGGTGTTCCTGGCCAGAGCTGTGATGAGTGTTCTAGGTGTTCCTGCCTATAGTGGTTCTAGGTGTTCCTGGCTAAAGCTGTGATGAGTGTTGAGGGCTGTTCTAGGTGTTCCTGGCTATATCTGTGATGAGTGTTGAGAGCTGTTCAAGGTGTTCCTGGCTATAGCTGTGATGAGTGTTGAGAGCTGTTCAAGGTGTTCCTGGCTATAGCTGTGATGAGTGTTGAGAGCTGTTCAAGGTGTTCCTGGCTATAGCTGTGATAGGTGTTCCTTGAGCGGTCGGGTAGCCTAGTAGTTAAAGTGTCCGCTCGTCACGCCGAAGACCCGGGTTCGATTCCCGACATGGGTACAATGTGTGAAACCCATTTCTGGTGTCCCCCGCCGTGATATTGCTGGAATATTGCTAAAAGCGGAATTAAACCATACTCACTCACTCACTTCTAGGTGTTCCTGGCTATAGCTGTGATAAGTGTTGAGAGCTATCCTAGGTGTTCCTGGCTAAAGCTGTGATGAGTGTTGTGAGCTGTTCTAGGTGTTCCTGGTCAAATCTGTGATGAGTGTTGAGAGCTGTTCTAGGTGTTCCTGGCTACAGCTGTGAGGAGTGTTGAGAGCTGTTCTAGGTGTTCCTGGCTACAGCTGTGATGAATGTTGAGAGCTGTTCCATGATGTGTTCCTGGCTATAGCTTTGATGAATGTTGAGAGCTCTTCCATGATGCGTTCCTGGCTATAGCTGTGATGAGTGTTGACAGCTGTTCCATGATGTGTTCCTGGCTATAGCTTTGATGAATGTTGAGAGCTCTTCCATGATGCGTTCCTGGCTATAGCTGTGATGAATGTTGACAGCTGTTCCATGATGCGTTCCTGGCTATAGCTGTGATGAATGTTGACAGCTGTTCCATGATGCGTTCCTGGATACATGTTTTAACCTACAGTACATTTTGTGTTGTGTAGCCTCCCCATGCTATCATGAACTTCATCGTGAGGTACAAGCCTGATGAGCAACCGCTGCTGCGTCCACACCACGATTCCTCCACCTACACCATCAACTTGGCCCTGAACACTCCTGGCCTGGACTACGAGGTACTGTATACACTTTCTGTTTGTCACCCTGAGTGTATTGCCATAACAACGTGTATTCAACATATGGCCAGTCCACTTGCAGAAAGGGATTGTAGAACTAGGACTTAGTTGTTTTCTCGAAGCACTAATGTTGCTTTGTGCAAGTGGTATGTCAGTATTCAGAAACACGTTTTCTCTATGTTAAAAAAATTATCCATCTTCCTGCATCTGTATTCCTTACTTTTGATCTCAAGGACATCGGGCATTAAGTTCAATCACATGACGGATGGATGTGTTCAATCTCGTCCTGACAGTAGTGTTCATGATTGATGGGTGTGTGTTGACAAGATCTGGTTTGTATTTCCAGGGTGGTGGCTGCCGTTTTATTCGCTATGATTGCAAGGTGACAGCTGCCCGGAGAGGCTGGATGTTGATGCACCCAGGTCGACTGACCCACTACCATGAAGGACTAAGGGTGACCAATGGCACAAGGTACATCATGATCTCCTTCGTCGACCCATAGATGCCAGGCCATCAGTCCTTACAGTTCTTTCACTTGATTATTGTTGAGTTAAGCAAGAAACATTAGATCACATGAAATCTGCTCAGTTTAGCCCTGGCATTGTCACACGTGGGTTTAGATTGTAGACAGGATCTATCATCTAATGCACCACCGGATGCCTGAATATGCGTGTTAATTATGTTTTCTGACATAATGCATATTTTGATCTGAAGAAAAGCAATATATATTTTCTCATGTTTAATATACCAAGTCAGAAACACTGCATTCAATACAATTAACTTAGGCATTGATATACTGGCTGTATACAAGTAAAATAGCTTGTTTTGTAAACAAAACTGTCAGAAATAAAAAACAGAATGTTTGCATTAGGAGATAAACGTCATAGGGTTTCAGATTTGCAGGCTTTATTGAATATTCAATGCCCAGGAAATTTCCTTTTGAACTGGCAGTGTTATCTGGAGGTTTCAAATGTTAAACTTTCTGGGTATCGAAAACTCAATCCCCATTTTCTGAAGCACTCTCTCTATGTGAACTCACACATTTGTGAGACAAACATGACGTCACTCTGGAATGATATGACATCACCCTGGGATGCCTTGGTGTAATGATACTATGGATGACGTCATATGCTTCCGTGATAACCTGGTTAGCAGAAAGTGCAAAATATAAAAACCTCAAAAGATGTTCTGATAAATATTGATGTTTAATTAAGGTGGTACCTATTTGACCTATTTAGAACATTTTTTTTATCAAGAAAAGTATTCATGAGCTGTGAATGGGTCACATTTCTAGGCTTAGAATCCCATTTAATCCCATTTTTCAACCAATCAGATTGTAGCACACACTCCCTTTTGGTCTATCAAAACCACAACAGGAATACATAGTATGGATAAACTGGAATATGAAGAGATATGAATACTATTGTTGAAAACATACCATGCGATAATTTACAGTAGATTCAACAGATGGCAATATAAGGTGGTGGGAGTACAAACCATGAGCGATAGATCACCTTCAAACACAGATCTGCATTGCCAGTAATATACATGTATCTGTACATTGTAATCTTAAGAAACTAATCCTGAAATAAGTAATTAGTTGAATCCTTTTTCTTTGGACCAAAATTTGAACAAAGTGCTGATTGTACTCCACGGTGAGCTATGCCATCATTGCTATCAGATGGTGTCTGGCATGCCATGCTCCGCTCCGCTGCTTCCATAGAGGAGCCGAGTTCCATAGAGCTTTACGAGAAAGGTGGTGCTATTCATTCTCTGTATCTCCAGGGCTCGCATTTCAATAAACCTACACTAACCCTTGGATCAATTCCCGTGGTTCTCGCAATCTTAAATTACCTGCCCTTTATTTTCATTGACATTTTACCGACCAATAAACCGTTGATATAAGGAAAAGGAAAAATGGTAAGGGAGGTAACTCGTATTTGTCTAGAAACCAAAGCCACCACTAGTTTTAGTGGACACGAAGACATCCTTTCAATCAAAATGTTTTTAAGGGCTTTCTTTTGCGTGTCAGACAGTTTTCAATGTTGAATTTCTTGCAAATACTATCGCAAACAGTGGGATTGGCCAGTATGTTATGATATCGCCAACTTAACATTGAGGCTGTTTTTTAATTCGCTTTCTCATTGGTACGTTAGACCTAGTAACGTAGCCAATCAAATTGGCTGAGGGGGTTCAAGGGTGGGTAATTTGAGATTGCGAGAATCACAGGATGGGTCCAGGGGTTAGTGAAATGCTAGCCCTGGAGATACAAAGGATGGGTGCTAGTTAAGAGAGGTGGAACTAGTTAAATCTACAAAGTCACATGTTTATTTAGGCCAACAAGGTCAGGTGCACACATCAATCAAATGACATTTAAGTTACCTGTCTTTGTGATATGTCCATTTAACAGAACATAAAAAAGATGCAAATCCATTTGTCTAATGTATAATATATTTTACTTTAGCATTTACACAATTATTACAATGAAAACATGCATTGAACACTGGTATGATGTGTGTTCTGGAATAGATGAGCAGATTGATGTGATTAAATCATTATCAAAACATTGATACTGCCAAGGAAAGCAAGATGTGTGAAAATGTTTGAAACTGTTGTAATGAATGTGAAATTGTGATAAGCAATTGTAGTGGTAGATGATTTCAAAATTGCTTATTCAGGTGAATCTCTGTTTTAGCATTTAAATATAGCAACAATATCAGAAAGAATGAGTGTATGTTTAGATTAGGTGGGTAGATTGTTAAACTGCTGCAAGGGAACTATTTCAAGATTTCAAATGGTGCTACTATGCTTATCTATTTTGTGCAGATACTTTTATGTCTTTTCTTGTATCATGTTTGTATCCGATGTTAGCAATGGTGTTGAGTTCCTATATACAGCTGTACAGTCAATACAGCCACAAACATTAATAGGAAACGGCCTACATTTGAGGATGTATTTTCACAGCAACATGTTAATTTGATGACACTACTGTTTGTTAACTTGTGAGTACACATTGTGTTGGTGAATGAAGCACTGCAGTCTGTACAGTGGAGCTCTATGTACACACACATGTACTGGGAATGTATGATGAATGCATGTAACCTTGTAAGTGCCCCATTGACATGTACCCATCAGACAATATGCTGGCCAGTCACTGTGAAGCAAAGAATTATTACATAACCATATCATTCATTTTCAAATAATGTTGTTCTGAAGGTTAATCTTGGTGGCAATGTGGCTATCATGTACATCACCATTCGAACCCTCCTTCAAATATGGTTTTGCTTTAAGATAGGTTTACAAATGTTTTATGTTCTCTTTGATAATCACACTTAATTGAAGGGGTCACGGGTGGCCGAGTTGTCTAAGGTGCCCCAATTTGCTGAGCTCAGTTGCATTTCTCAGGCACACCAGAAACCTTTGATTGTGGGTTCGAATTGTGGTTCACCCTAATTGTTTCTAGGTTTGTCAGTACCATACCCTTACTTGTGGGTTTCACCAAAGTGGTAACGTCCGCGACCTGCCTCAATTTGGGCTTTTCTCCCACATTAAGTGGACATACGGTGATATAACTGTAATATTGTTCAAAGCGGAGTTGAACTCACTCACTCACTAAACTGAAGTGCAGCATGGATGCTTGTCATCAACACAACATGTGGTCATGTCTGGGATACAAACACTGACACTTGCATCACGTTTTGATATGAGAGGAAGAGGACCAGGGCCTTCCCTGCCTTGTTTTGCACAGAATACCGAAGTTGAAATACAACTTGTTTCTATTTCACACATAGCAGTGCATGCTATGTCTGTTTGGTCACAGTGATGACAGCTGGAACCATGTCCGTCCTATGTGTTGTATACATGTATATTTGACAATGTGCCACTAGGGGGACATTTATGTTTGAGATCAGCATATTTTTGTTAAGATTTAGCTAAATCCCCACCATGTATTCTGTGGATACTTTTGGATACTTTATATAGGGCACACTAGTTCTGTAACTTAGCTTTCCCAGGTGTGATATTGTGTACTGTTCTTGATATTGAGATGTCTATTTCATGTTTTCATGTCCTTGTTAGTAACTGGCTTACATTTAAATTTTCCTTGCTTGTAAATTACAGCGGGATCAATGTCTTGTTATTGTCTTCCATAAGTAACATGTCCTTACATATTGTCTTCTGATGCCCACATCCTGCAACTACTGTGTAAGTAGGTCATTAGACTGAGATGATCCAATTTAATACATTAAATAATTTCTTCAGATTTTATATGAAAATAATTGATCACACTGGAAATCTTTATATTTCTGTACAAAATATATGTTACCAGTAATAAAACATGGAACTGGTGTGTGTCTTATTTATGTCCTACCCTGAGGGGCAACATGTATTCTCAGTCAAGCAGAGAATGTTTCACACAATATTACTTGTGTGTCATCCGGGAGTGTGAAGTCTTGCTTCTGTCTACTGGTGGGAGAGTGGGAGAGTGGGAGTTCCTGCTTCTGTCTACTGGTGGGAGAGTGGGAGTTCTTGCTTCTGTCTACTGGTGGGAGAGTGGGAGTTCCTGCTTCTGTCTACTGGTGGGAGAGTGGGAAGTCTTGCTTCTGTCTACTGGTGGGAGAGTGTGAAGTCTTGCTTCTGTCTACTGGTGGGAGAGTGGGAGTTCTTGCTTCTGTCTACTGATGTGAGGTCTTGCTTCTGTCTACTGGTGGGAAAGTGGGAGGTTTTGCTTCTGTCTACAGGTGGGAGAGTGAGAGATCCTGCTTCTGTCTACTGGTGGGAGGAGGTCTTGCTTCTGTCTACTGGTGGGAGAGTGGGAAGTCTTGCTTCTGTCTACTGGTGGGAGAGTGGGAGTTCCTGCTTCTGTCTACTGGTGGGAGAGTGGGAGTTCTTGCTTCTGTCTACTGATGTGAGGTCTTGCTTCTGTCTACTGGTGGGAAAGTGGGAGGTCTTGCTTCTGTCTACAGGTGGGAAAGTGGGAGGTCTTGCTTCTGTCTACAGGTGGGAGAGTGAGAGATCCTGCTTCTGTCTACTGGTGGGAGAGTGGGAAGTCTTGCTTCTGTCTACTGGTGGGAGAGTGAAAAGTCCTGCTTCTGTCTACTGGTGGGAGGAAGTCTTGCTTCTGTCTACTGGTGGGAGAGTGAGAAGTCTTGCTTCTGTCTACTGGTGGAGAGTGAGAGGTCTTGCTTCTGTCTACTGGTGAGAGAGTGTGAGGTCTTGCTTCTGTCTACTGGTGGGAGAGTGAGAGATCCTGCTTCTGTCTACTGGTGGGAGAGTGGGAGGTCTTGCTTCTGTCTACTGGTGGGAGAGTGGGAGGTCTTGCTTCTGTCTACTGGTGGGAGGAGGTCTTGCTTGTCTACTGGTGGGAGAGTGTGAAGTCTTGCTTCTGTCTACAGGTGGGAGAGTGTGAAGTCTTGCTTCTGTCTACTGGTGGGAGAGTGGGAAGTCTTGCTTCTCTCTACTGGTGGGAGAGTGTGAAGTCCTGCTTCTGTCTACTGGTGGGAGAGTGTGAAGTCTTACTTCTGTCTACTGGTGTGAGGTCTTGCTTCCATCTACTGGTGTGAGGTCTTGCTTCCGTCTACTGGTGTGAGGTCTTGCTTCCGTCTACTGGTGGGAGAGTGAGAGGTCTTGCTTCTGTCTACTGGTGGGAGAGTGTGAAGTGTTGCTTCTGTCTACTGGTGGGAGAGTGTGAAGTGTTGCTTCTGTCTACTGTTTGGAGAGTGTGAAGTGTTGCTTCTGTCTACTGGTGGGAGTGTGAGAGTTCCTGCTTCTGTCTACTGGTGGGAGGTCTTGCTTCCGTCTACTGGTGGGAGGTCTTGCTTCCGTCTACTGGTGGGAGGTCTTGCTTCCGTCTACTGGTGGGAGGTCTGTCTTCTGTCTCAAGGTGGGAGAGTGAGAGTTCCCGCTTCTGTCTACTGGTGGGATGAGGTCTTGCTTCTGTCTACTTGTGGGAGAGTGGGAGGTCTTGCTTCCATCTACTGGTGGGAGAGGGATGTCTTGTCTCAACGGACTTCCTAGTACTTGTGTGTCAAGGTTGGAGAGTGTGAGGTCTATTGTGTGTGAACCTATTAATAATCATGAAGACATGACCATCTTGCACAGACAACATGTTGCTCTTTGCTGTATGATATTTATTCAGCACCATAAATAAGTAAGTCTACAGACTTGGTCTCAGCATTAACAAAGAAAAATACAGAAGCATACAAAACACACAAGACAGGATGGTTAACATCTGCAGTGTATTGAGGGTGCAAGTTTTTTCACTGCTTTTAGTATGTTACCCACATGGAGAGTGGCACAGTGCCGAAATGCTTTAACCACTTGACAATCCACTGCACCTCACTGTATTGTACAAATGTTTTGTTTTTTTTATACTGTATGTATCATCCTCTAAATCTCCAGGGCTAGCATTTCAATAAACCTACACTAACCCATGGATTCATCCCCGAGGTTTTTGCCATCGCAAATAACCCACCCTTGATTTTCAATGACACTTTACCGACCAATCTAACATCAACAGGGAGGTAACTATATTACCTAGAAACCAAAGCCACCACCAGTTTTAATGGACATGAAGACATCCTTTCCATTAAAAAAAATAAATTCAGTCAGTTTTTGAATGTTGAATTTCTCGCGTTCCCAACCATACTCAATAGAACTGGCCAACCCAACTTTGAGACTGGTTTGTAACTCACATTCTGATTGGTACGTTAGACCTAGTAGTGTAGCCAATCAAATTGCCAAATTAAAATCAAGGTGGTGTTACTTGAGATTGCGAGAACCACAGGAACGAATCCAGGGGTTAGTGCAGGTTGACCAAGATGTTAGCCCTGGAAGTACAGATGATGATAGGCTATAAGTTGTCCCTTATTTTCTGATACCATACACCCTGCAACCAGAAACTGATCTACCCGGAGACAACTATTTATCACTGAGTGTATGGTAGGACATGAACTGATCAAGCCACACAATAAAATTGTACAGATACTTCAACAAAATGGCACAAGACACACATTGATGACTATGTAAGTTTAACAAAAGGAAACGATAATGACAAAGTACACCTGTTTTTTGATGACATGTTAAACAAAAGGTGGCCTCCCTTGCTCCATTACGCACAGAGACGATCCCAGTATCTATCAGATATCACTACAAGCATACAGTCAGTGAACACGACCATCTGCTTTGACCTGGCAATGAACACAATCACATGCTTTGACCCGGTAGTGAACATCACCACATGCTTTAATCCGGCAGTGAACACAATCACATGCTTTGACCCGGCAGTGAACATCACCACATGCTTTAATCCGGCAGTGAACACAATCACATGCTTTGACCCGGCAGTGAACATCATCACATGCTTTGACCTGGCAGTGAACATCATCACATGCTTTAATCTGGCAGTAAACATCATCACATGCTTTGAACTGGCAGTGAACATCATCACATGCTTTGACCCGGCAGTGAACATCATCACATGCTTTGACCTGGCAGTGAACATCATCACAAGCTTTGAACTGGCAGTGAACATCATCACATGCTTTGAACTCGCAGTGAACATCATCACATGCTTTGATCCGGCAGTGAGTGAGTGAGTTAAAGCTTTACATTACATCGGCAATATTTCAGCCATATCGTGACGAGTGATCCGGCAGTGAACATCATCACATGCTTTGACCCGGCAGTGAACATCACCACATGCTTTGACCCGGCAGCGAACATCATCACATGCTTTGACCCGGCAGTGAACATCATCACATGCTTTGACCTGGCAGTGAACAATGTCACATGCTTTAATCCGGCAGTGAACATCATCACATGCTTTGACCCGGCAGTGAACATCATCACATGCTTTGACCTGGCAATGAACACTGTCACATGCTTTAATCCGGCAGTGAACATCATCACATGCTTTGACCTGGCAGTGAACATCATCACATGCTTTTACCTGGCAGTGAACATCATCACATGCTTTGATCCGGCAGTGAACATCATCACATGCTTTGACCTGGCAGTGAACATCATCACATGCTTTGACCTGGCAGTGAACATCATCACATGCTTTAATTCGGCAGTGAACATCATCACATGCTTTGACCTTGCAGTGAACATCATCACATGCTTTGACCTGGCAGTGAACATCATCACATGCTTTAATCCAGCAGTGAACATCATCACATGCTTTGACCTGGCAGTGAACATCATCACATGCTTTGACCTGGCAATGAACACTGTCACATGCTTTAATCCGGCAGTGAACATCATCACATGCTTTGACCTGGCAGTGAACATCATCACATGCTTTGATCCGGCAGTGAACATCATCACATGCTTTGACCTGGCAGTGAACATCATCACATGCTTTGATCCGGCAGTGAACATCATCACATGCTTTGACCTGGCAGTGAACATCATCACATGCTTTAATTCGGCAGTGAACATCATCACATGCTTTAATCCGGCAGTGAACATCATCACATGCTTTTACCTGGCAGTGAACATCATCACATGCTTGGACCTGGCAGTGAACATCATCACATGCTTTAATCCAGCAGTGAACATCATCACATGCTTGGACCTGACAGTGAACATCATCACATGCTTTGACCAGGCAATGAACATCATCACATGCTTTGACCTGGCAGTGAACATCATCACATGCTTTGACCCGGCAGTGAACATCATCACATGCTTTGACCTGGCAGTAGGCTAAGTAGTTATTTTACATATTGAAAAGTTAATAAGGAGGCGGGTTGCTACAGATTCTGTGAAGTAGAAAATGACAATGCTACAAATATTACAAAGCTGTATGTACAGTTGTAGGTTTCTGCTTATGTACAAGGTTTAACATTGGCAAGGTGTGAGATTCAAGCATGTTGGTCATGACAGTAAAAAAGTGTGAGAATGATACGGTATTGTGGTCTATCATTCCTGGATGAATATGGTCAATAATAAAATTATGCATAATAGATCCACAGTTGGCATAACTAAAGCTATATTGATTACAACTTTAAAATGTGCTGCACGGTAATCACTAGCATCATGGTAAAGTTCTATTTCAAATACAAAAATATCTGAAAGATCCTGAAATTCTTAAAATGATCCTTTTGAAGTCTTATCTCCTGGAAACCATCTTGTGTATGGAACAAACAATTCTAAAAGGAGAACCTGAAGCCTCTGAAATCTTGTGCCCCAAAATATGTTAGATGATCACTTCTCTACCAGTAAATAATATCACACCATTGATGAAATAAATATTGAGCAACTCATGATATGAATTAATCCGATTAAACAAACAATTAGAAATCTTTTTAGATCTTGTTTTGCAGTCATCAGGAACAAGTGTTTTTTTCTATTTCTAAAACTGGAACAGTTTCCTAACATTTATGGTATTCAGTGCTGTTTGAGAAGAAACATGCATGTATACCTTGAATTGTACAATAAATAGAATATTCAGTGAGTGCCATCAAACTATTTTTTATGAGAGACCGGAAACAATCCCATCTTACTATAAATCTCTTTAACCCGGAGAAAGCTACTGAGGCAAGACACCCTTCCAGTGGAAAGCTCCACAGGCCCCAGACAGGAGTGGATTTACTATCAACATTTTGAGTGTGTTACAGCATAATGCCTCTTAGAATGAGTAATGGTTCAGTTCAGCACTATTGTTACAGAGACTGTAGAACATTTGTGTCCTGCCTTACCACAAGGCCTGGCACAGGGGAGGGAACTCTGGGTAGACAGGTCGGGTGTGGATGACTGTTGCTTGGCTCATACATAATGAATAGGTGACTAAATAGGTACAGGATACTGTGTAGTTACATGGGGCTAATTACACTACATAGAAAGGATGTAACATGTAAAATGACATACAACAGTAAATTGGGGTGATGTTTTCCCAATGACTATTACTCTTATCTGAAACTGGATTGCTTACACATGTATCTTTGGTTCTGGTATAGTTGAGTCTAGGCCCATACTACAAGCCCTGACTGACACCCATCAGTCTTGTGTGACCAACAATTCTACAAATGTTGACTTGAACAGGAGCAATGGCACTGCACTTGTAGAACTCATCTGGGTGAAGGTGTACCTCTAACAACAAGCTGTGCTCTCAACTACAAAGCAATGTCCATGTGTGCAACATGAGCTGGTATAGTTTATAAAGGCTGGTGATGATGTATGAAGCCATGTGGCTCAGCTTGGTGGAAGATACAGGCGCAGCTGGATATGACATGTTCCACTGATGTGATAGCTGCCTGTTCAAACCATGTCCAGTCATCACACAGGGACACACCCCTGCCATGGATCAATTTACGTTGTGACACCAGTCTCTTCAAATCACAAATGTTTTCCATCTCGGGAGTGTTGCACAGCAAGGTATAACATGGTTTGCCTGTCTTTGAGCACAGCACTGTGAGTGTTACACGCACTCGTCCTTGAGGCTGGATATGCGGGCACAGATCTTGAGAGCGGGGCCAAGCTTGATGTTCATGGCCGTCATCAGATGGTCCTCCTTTAGCAACAGCAGTGCTTGGCCGTCGATCTCCTGGGAGAGGAACTCCTCCGCATAGGTGGCGCAGCCCGGCAGCGACTTGATGAACTCATACACCTCCATCACCTGCACATAACACCTGCACGTACTCACATGGCCACATGGAACATTTAAACTTGTTTCAACCAGAAAAAGTTATTGTCATTACAGTTAAATAATCATCTTTTTTAAATGCAAAAGGACTGTACCAATATAGCATTAGTAGCAACAAAGATGGTGACCGTGTGTGTGATGGTGACCGTGTGTGTGATGGTGACCGTGTGTGTGATAGTGAGAGTGTGTATGATGGTGACAGTGGGTGTGATGGTGACAGTGTGTATGATGGTGACCGTGTGTGTGATAGTGAGAGTGTGTATGATGGTGACAGTGGGTGTGATGGTGACCGTGTGTGTGATGGTGACCGTGTGTGTGATAGTGAGAGTGTGTATGATGGTGACAGTGGGTGTGATGGTGACAGTGGGTGTGATGGTGACCGTGTGTGTGATGGTGACAGTGGGTGTGATGGTGAGATGTGTGTATGATGGTGACAGTGGGTGTGATGGTGACCGTGTGTGTGATGGTGACAGTGGGTGTGATGGTGACCGTGTGTGTGATGGTGACAGTGGGTGTGATGGTGAGATGTGTGTATGATGGTGACAGTGGGTGTGATGGTGACCGTGTGTGTGATGGTGACCGTGTGTGTGATGGTGACAGTGGGTGTGATGGTGACCGTGTGTGTGATGGTGAGATGTGTGTGTGATGGTGACCGTGTGTGTGATGGTGACCGTGTGTGTGATAGTGAGAGTGTGTATGATGGTGACAGTGGGTGTGATGGTGACAGTGGGTGTGATGGTGACCGTGTGTGTGATGGTGAGAGAGTGTGATGGTGAGAGTGTGACAGTGGGTGTGATGGTGACATTTTGTGTGTGATGGTGAGATATGTGTGATGGTGAGAGTGTGTGTGTGATGGTGAGATATGTGTGATGGTGAGAGTGTGTGTGTGATGGTGAGATGTGTGATGGTGAGAGTGTGTGTTATAGTGAGAGTGTGTGTGATAGTGAGTGTGTGTGATGGTGAGAGAGTGTGATGGTGACAGTGTGTGTGATGGTGAGATGTGTGTGTGTGATGGTGAGAGTGTGTGATGGTGAGAGTGTGTGTGATGGTGACATTGTGATGGTGAGATGTTTGTGATGGTGACAGTGGGTGTGATGGTGACATTGTGTGTGTGATGGTGAGATATGTGTGATGGTGAGAGTGTGTGTGATGGTGACAGTGTGTGTGTGATGGTGAGATATGTGTGATGGTGAGAGTGTGTGTGATGGTGACAGTGTGTGTGTGATGGTGAGATATGTGTGATGGTGAGAGTGTGTGTGTGATGGTGAGAGTGTGTGTGATGGTGAGATATGTGTGATGGTGAGAGTGTGTGTTATAGTGAGAGTGTGTGTGATAGTGAGTGTGTGTGATGATGAGAATGTGTGATGGTGAGAATGTGTGATGGTGAGTGTGTGTGTGATGGTGAGGTGAGGTGAAATGGGGTTTAACGTCGTGTCAATTATAGCAACGTGCATGCATGTGTGTGGCTGCTTGTACTAGTCCGGACTGATGCCGATTTATAGTGCTAGCCCCTGAGATACCATGCCGCAGATACCAATACCCAACTCAGACACAGCAAATTGACTCTGAGTCAACAAGTGCTTGTTTTATTGCCTTAATGCCGAGCACCAGGCAGGGTTACAACAAGTACCATATTTTAACGTCTTGTAGTATGTCATGACTGGGGATCGAACCCTGACCTTCCGCTCTCTGGGCAGATGCTCTACCACGAGACTACGGAGGCGGTCATGTGATGGTGAGAGTGTGTGTGATGGGGATAGTGTGTTTGATGGTGACTGTGTATGTGATGGTGAGTGTGTGTGTGATGGTAAAGGTATGTGTGTGGGCGAGACTGTGTGTGATGATGAGAGTGTGTGTGAAGGTGAAAGTGTATGTGATGGTGAGTGTGTGTGATGGTGAGTGTGTGTGATGATGAGAGTGTGTGTGAAGGTGAAAGTGTATGTGATGGTGAGTGTGTGTGATGGTGAGTGTGTGTGATGATGAGAGTGTGTGTGAAGGTGAAAGTGTATGTGATGGTGAGTGTGTGTGATGGTGAGTGTGTGTGATGGTGAGAGTGTGTGCGTGTTGGTGACATTGTGGGTGATGGTGACAGTGTGTGTGAGTGTGTGATGGTGACAGTGTGGGATGGTGAGAGTGTGTGATGGTGACAGTGTGTGTGATGGTGAGTGTGTGATGGTGAAAGTATGTGATGGTGAGAGTGTGTGATGGTGAGAGCGTGTGTGTGTGTGGTGACCATGTGTGTGAGACAGAGTGAGTGTGTGTGATGGTGAGTGTGTATGATGGTGAGAGTGTGTTATGGTGACAGTGTGTGTGTGATGGTGAGTGTGTGTGATGGTGACAGTGTGTGTGATGGTGACATTGTGGGTGATGGTGAGAGTGTGTGTGTGGTGGTGACCATGTGTGATGGTGAGAGTGTGTGTGATGACAGTGTGTGTGTGATGGTGACAGTGTGTGTGATGGTGAAAGTATGTGATGGTGAGAGTGTGTGTGTGGTGACCATGTGTGTGATGGTGACAGTGTGTGTGATGGTGACAGAGTGAGTGTGTATGATGGTGAGAGTGTGTGTGTGTGTGTGTGTGGTGACCATGTGTGTGATGGTGAGAGTGTGTGTGATGACAGTGTGTGTGTGATGGTGACCCTGTGTGTGATGGTGACATAGTGAGTGTTTGTGATGGTGAAAGTGTGTGTGTGGTGACCATTTGTGTGATATTGACAGAGTGAGAGTGTGTGATGGTGAGAGTGTGTTTGATGGTGAGAGTGCGTGATGGTGACCATTTGTGTGATATTGACAGAGTGAGAGTGTGTGATGGTTAGAGTGTGTTTGATGGTGAGAGTGTGTATGGTGACCATGTGTGTGATGGTGAGTGTGTGTGTAGGTGACTGTATGTCATGGTGTGTGTGTATGTGTGTGTTGGTGACACTGTGTGTAATGATGAGAGTGTGTGATGGTGAGAGTGTAGGTGATGGTGAGAGTATGTGTGATGGTGAAAGTATGTGATTGTGACAGAGTGAGTGTGTGTGATGGTGAGTGTGTGTGTGGTGACCATGTGTGTGATGGTGACAGTGTGTGTGATGGTGACAGAGTGAGTGTGTGTGATGGTGAGTGTGTTTGATGGTGAGAGTGTGTGTGTGTGTGTGTGTGTGTGTGGTGACCATGTGTGTGATGGTGAGTGTGTGTAGGTGACTGTATGTCATGGTGTGTGTGTATGTGTGTGTTGGTGACACTGTGTGTAATGATGAGAGAGTGTGTGTGATGGTGACAGTGTGTGTGATGGTGAAAGTATGTGTGATGGTGAGAGTGTGTGTGGTGATGACAGTGTGTGTGATGGAGAGGTTGTGTGTGATTGTGACTGTGTGTGATGGTAAGAGTGTGTGTGATGGTGAGAGTGTGTGTGATGGTGAAAGTATGTGTGATGGTGAGAGTGTGTGTGGTGATGACAGTGTGTGTGATGGTGAAAGTATGTGTGATGGTGAGAGTGTGTGTGGTGATGACTGTGTGTGATGGTGAGATTGTGTGTGATTGTGACAGTGTGTGTGATGGTGAGATTGTGTGTGATTGTGACGGTGTGTGATGATGAGAGTGTGTGATTGTGACGGTGTGTGATGGTGAGATTGTGTGTGATTGAAACTGTGTGTGATGTGAGAGTGTGTGTGTGTGTGTGTGTGTGTGTGATGGTAATTGTGTGTGTGATGGTGAAGGTGTGTTTGTTGGTGACAGTGTGTGTGATTGTGAGTGTGTGTGTGTGATGGAGTGTGTGTAACCTGCAACCTACCGTCCACTTGGATGGTTCTGAGGATGGCGAGAGAGTGTCCATCTCCATGTCCGGCAAGGGGATAGGGGAGGTGGGAGAGGAACTGGTCTCCTCCTGACCACTGTTAGAACTGCTGGCCTCCTCTGGCAGCTGCAACACATGCACCCAGCTCACATCACAGGGAACATTCACACAGAAACTAAGTAAAATCTAAATCTGTATACTTATCTTGCATTGCTCCTTAATGCACTTACTGCTTTCTGTTGACAGCTGTGATATGTCCAGCTGAAGAAAAACTTGTTCCATCCATTTGTGAGGTGGACCCCATTGCACAGCGCTCATGTGACCACGGATGTGATGACGTCACATATCTTCACATTACTGCTTAATCGTAACATCTGAAGACATCGTGGTGAGGAAGCTCTTTGACAGTGGGCCCTTAGACGTAGTAATGCAGGATAAGTATATAAGTGTAAAAAATATTTCGATTTTACTAAATTGTTTAACTTATCCTGCATTACTCCTTAATGCATCTGTATAGGATATTACGGTGGTGGGCATATCTTCAGATGTCTTCCTCAGAAACACCCTTGACAACATGTAGACATCCATATAGTGCATCCCTTGAGAAGATCGGCTGCCAATTGACCAATCCTATCCCTGGAAAGAATGAGAGTGTGATGATGTCCAGGTAAAATGCAGCAATAGAAAATAATGACTCTCGAGTACAAAGCCTGACTTACCGAGCCAATGCTGGCAGCATAGAGACACCCTCTGTGTCATCAGGTAAGGCAGGTTCTTGACAGATTGACATGATATTGGCTTCTAGGATTGTTGACCTGCTGGGCTGAAACTTTCCTTCCATGATGCCTCTGATGGAGCAATTACTGTGGATAGCCATCGTAGAGGCGACCGCCCAGATCTCATGAGGCTTGTTGGCTCTAGGAGGATCAAGGTCAGTGGCCTCATATGCCTGAAGAATGATGGCGTGTAACCATAGGGATTTGGTATTGCGGCTGACTTCAGTCGTGGATGTCTTGAACACTGGAATGAAACATCCTTTCGGAGCACCTCTTGAGTCTTGAAGCAGTGGATGAAAACCCTCAGTGCAAGAGGAGTTCCTCCTCATCTTCAACGCCCACAATCAAGGGGAGAGGTGTAATGGTGAAGGGCATTCAATGTTTCTTCTTCTTGTCCCACCCCTGCCTTGGAATTTGCCATGGCAGGATTGATAAGAGCCTTGGGAATTCCCTCTTCCATGCCCTTCTCTTGAAAGAAAGACTGGTTTGGAGCCTGGTTTTTCAGGGCCAAGTGCAGAGCACGACAGTTGCCCGTCCTAGAAGAGCATTGAGCTAAGTTCTGGGCAACATGTCTCATCTCACGCATTACTGGAAATCCTGGAATGAGTTTCAAATATCTAGCCATGAAAGTGAGAAGTCACAGACTAGAGCTGGCGAAGTAGTCTGCGCTTCAATTCCAAATCCTAGTAGGTAAGGGCCAGGTGAGCTTCCTCTGCTGATAATATACGACCGCCTGGAGATGATCCACTTGGTTGACGTTTGTCTCAGTCAGATCCTGGTCTCTGGCACAAGATGAGGAAGCCAGAGCTGACAATGATTTCAAGGAGCATCTAATCTCTGTCTCAATAAACGCCATTTGTGTCACAGGGATCTTGAGAGTGGTCGGTTTCAAGGACATGAGCACTATCAGCTACCTCAAAGTCATAAATGGGGAAGTCCTCCCTCTTGAACCATCCAGCGCAGTGACCTTATCCTTGAACATAGGATCTTGAGGAATGCAGGTGGGCTGTGACCATATCGTGTCGTTCTTGTCAACTCAACCCCTGTCTTAAAAGTGCAGGGGGTGCTGGAAATTCGTAAGGCACTGACTGGTACGAAGAAAAAAGGTGAGGCGCATAGTTCTGGTGGAACAAAAATTGCATGAAGCTATGCATCCATGCAAGATCCATGTAGGTCTGCTGGAAGCCATGTGGAGCAGGAAGACCACAACCCTGTTGAGCAGGAGGAAGAGGCGCTGACATGCTGACATCAAAGGTGGCGCTGTGAGAGTTGACAGCGTAGGAAGTGGCACAGTGCTCGGCACCTGCGGAATCTCTGGCGTCACTGGAGGCAAGGGTAATACAGCGCTCAAGAGGAGGCTCTGGAGTCTCAACATCCTCCTCGTGTGTTGTAGGCTCTTCCGTGCAAGGTGCTTCCTGGATACCTGTAGATACCTTGCAAAGCAAGGTGGGGATAGAGGAGAACAAAACTGACACTTCTGTCCTGACGAAGAGATACCAGTATAACCAAGACACTGTGGGTGAGGGTCCTTACATGACTTTTCTACACGACAATGGACAAAACAGGCAAGCATAAATCCGCAATTAAAGCAGAATTTGCGAGGCCCAAATGTACCCAACTATAGGGGATAATAATCCAATGTTTGAACCCAGTTAATGGGGTTAAAGGATTACAATTACGCAGAATAAACGTGTAAAACAAAGAGAGGCTTTAGATAAGGTAATATACATAATTACCAAGCCATAAACAAGAATATAAAAAGTGTGCCTCGATGTACGAGAGCATGAAAAATATTCAAAATATTCATCACACTTTTAGTCACCTTCACGAAAACACACCAGATAAATCACATATATTTCATCAACAATGAAAAACCAACAGATGACACAAATTTGCTGGACAAATATATTGAACACAACTTGTCATTCTTTTGACAAATAGTAATGTGAAAATATGTAACATCACTTCCATCATCATGTGGGCGCTTTGCGATTGGGTCTGCCTCACAACTGGTTGAAACAACTCTTTCTTCAGCTGGACCTCACACAGCCTTGTTCTTCTGTCAAAAGAAAGCTGTAAATGCATTAAGAAGTAATGTGGGAAAGGTTAAAAAATTAAAGATTATTGGCGACACCGCAATCTCGGTAGTTCGAGAAGGGAGCTAACTCCGCTCGCCTTATCAAAAGTTCGAAATTAAACGCACTTGTAGAGAATACGTTCTACGTAAACAAGCTTGTATTACCAATCACTATTTTGTCTATTTAAAAATCAGGTTTTCCCGAAAAAAAGAGAGGAAAAGTCTAGGGGGGTCGGGGGTCGGGGGTCGGGGGTCTGGGGTCAACAAACTTACCTTGTACTTACTTACCTTTTGTTGAAAAAACAAAACTCCATTGCAAACATAAGACATTAATACAACATATATCCCCATGTTCTGGACGCTGAAGAAACATTCATAGTTTTCTCGCTAATCACATGAACAAATGTAAAACATCTCATTCACTTATAGACAACTTTATCTTAAAAACAAGCCATCATCTGACTCTGAGTATTTACAATTTCTGTGTGACGCCACACCCCACGTTATAGTGCAAGCATTCATGATAGAAAACGTATGATGTGCGAAAACCTATGCGGCTGAAAGTTCTGATCGAAAACAGGATAATCCAACCAAATGAAGCTTAGCAATTTATAAATGTGGTCTCTCCTCTTGCAATCACTGTGATGGAAAAAGTGAGCCCATATTTAGAAAATGATCGTCAGCACTAATTAAGTAACTTAATGAAGCTAGGCGATATTAGAAAATGAGTACCAATAAATGGAACTTTGCGATTAATAAATGTGGTCCCCCATGTTGCAATCACTATGACGAAATAAATCTGGCCAGCCTAAAGTAATGAAGCTTTACTCCTATACAAATGTGGGCCCACTTGTTTTGATCACCATATAAGACAGGAGAAAGAAGATGTTATTAATTTTCTGCAAGTTACAGATGGAAAGATAAATATATAAATGTATTCAAATATTTAATTAAGAAAACAGTCTTTCTAGGGATATATGGCCAATTATATAGCTGGACCAACGACAACGTACAGTGTGCAGGGTTTGCCTGAGCCTATTTTAACTGGAGGTCATCATGACTCCTTAACTGTAATACAGGGAGTCATTTCAACAAAATACTAATTGATGTTAGATATCATAATGATGAAATCTTTTCATAATACTGGAAATTCAACCACCCCTTGAGGCAACTAATGAAACTTATTTCTATTTCTGGCTGCAACCGAGAGCTTGCCCTGTGGGTGTCTATTTTTTTACATTAGGATTTCCAACAGTTGACAAAGCTGATATCAGTTCTATTTTATTGTCAAGGGATATATCCGTTTCCAATTTTAATGTTCTGATCCCATAGTGAAATATATTAATTTTGACAGTCTGAATGATCTGCGTCATGACTGATGCAATGGAGAAATAATATTGCATATTTTCTCCTCAGATTGTGTCACATACGCAGGTTTTGTGTGTCAGGGCAAACCCTGGGCATGACTGACACCATTTCTCCCAAATACCACAACAACGGAGATAGTTCACAATTGAAATAAGAGTGACTCCCTTTCCCAGGAACACACAGGTTATCTTACTAAAAACACTGACAGAACAATAATAACACAAAACTAATGATGAAACATGAAACACTTGAAACATTTCTCAACTTAATTCATCCATGGATGGACATGAAACATTTCTCAACTTAATTCATCCATGGATGGACATGAAACATTTCTCAACTTAATTCATCCATGGATGGACATGAAACATTTCTCAACTTAATTCATCCATGGATGGACAACAATGTCTTAAATAGCTGTTGATAGCAAGAAGTGCCCTCACTCTCATATTGATGTTGTAAGCGAGGCGGCCCCCTCTTCCCGGTCGCCAGCCTTTCCTAACCGCCAGGGGATGCTTCCTCTTCTTGACCAGCTTCACTGTACCTGCTGGTGACAAGATGTCCGCCAATTGCTTCGGTTGTCTATGAAACTTTCACTTTTATCAACTTTTTGGTTTCAGAAAAATATCAGTGGAAGTGAAATCATATATATAATGGCAATGCATTATGAAATATGTTTTTGTTCATGGAGTCTTCTTACTTTCAGAGCGTGAGGAGTTTGCTTCTTGGTTATGAGTAAAAATATTCTTACTCTACAAACTGAAAAATTTTCAAAGTTTAAGAGGCTCTTCACAAAAAGGCGAGGTCGCAAAAAACACATATTTTTATGTTAGTTTAACAAACTGTTGCTTCCATTTGGGGATGGTCTCTATTGACAAAGTGATCACAGCTCTAGGGCTGTTTAAAGTCTGGAAAAAGTCGGAGACTAGCGATCATTGCTTTGAAGAAACTGAACTGCAAATGTGTAAACAATGAATAATGATTCATGCATGTTCTCTAACAAATCCTAAGTTTCAAATAACAAACCAACATTATTGATTCTTTTTTTCTCACCTTTGTTCTTGAACAAGCCAACACGTCTAGAGCAGGCCACGTTATAGCGCTTGGCACATGCCATGGAGCAGAACCGCTTAGAGCGCCGGAACTTGACGGCAGTGGCCATTTTGCCGCAGTACTCGCACTTCAGCATATTGGGCTGCAGTTGGGTCTCGGTGCTGCTCCGTGTTGGCAAGCCTGCATGCACAAAAGATGAGATACAGCTTCTTTGTGCTCTTAACATTTATATCAGTATTTATCATCATTGACATGAGAAACATTAAAATTGACATAAGAAAAATTGATGACACATCTGGGATAAAAAATCTGGGTTTGTGTTCATTCTACAGTAAACTATGGTTATAACGAACTCAAAGGGACCACTAATTGTAGTTTGTAATAACCATAGTTCGTTATAAGCATAAAAACAGCATATACACAACAAATGGCTTCATTTAAATATTAGAAACATGTCAAGTCTCAGTTTTACACTCGGATAGCATGCACCTTCAGGTGGCAGTTGATTCCCTAGCCTGCTTTTGCAGTTGCCATAGTTACCCCACACCCACCTTCAGGCTCCAGAAGCGGGGGCGGCAGGTCCATGAGGGATTCACTCAGCTCCTCATCTGAGTCCTTGTCGGTACGAGTAGGTTTGGGGGGGATGAACTCCGTCAGCAGGGACGACCGCTGCACCTGCAGCCAATACACCATGAGCATCCAAGTAACTCAGGATAGACATGACTATCACCTAATGAGACACTAACATCAAACAAACAGAACAGTTGCAAGCATTAATATTGAGTTGCTTGGTCTCTTTTCATATTGTTATGTTGCTTAATTTCAGTGAGTGAGTCAGATGAGTTTAACGCCACTTAAACAGTATTCCAGTTATAACATGGCATGTCAGCTTAATGTGGGAGGGAAGCCCAAAGTCATGCATGTCTAAGATGTTTACCACTTTGAAAAAACCCACGAGCATGAGTATGGTGCTGACAAACCTAGAAACAAAAATTGGGTGAACTGGGATTCAAACAATAATTTTTTCTGGCATGCCCAAGGGCCGCAACTCTGCAGTTAATTGCGGCGCCTTAGACCACTGGGGTCGCCAATATGCACTGCTATCACTCCTCATAGTTCAAGTTCCACACTGAGACCTACTGGGAAGGGTTCTGGTCCCTCCTGTATGACGAAGCCCTCGATGATGTGAGTCAGGATGTGGGGCTTCACAATAGCTTTCTGCTTTTCCACAACTGTGGCTGGCTCCAGCGGTGGAGGCGGCTTATCTGGCATCGATGTGTCCATCGGCGTCTCCACCTCCTTCGTGATAACTGGTGGCTTATCATTGTCATCAATAACGTCTTTGTCCTTTTCCTCTGGGCTTCCTTCGTCAACAGTCACGCTCCCCGACTTCTCCTTAGTGGAAGTAATGTCAGGAGGTGGTGTCGACTTCTTTGCCCTTTCCACCTCAGAATCTGATTGGCTCTTTGCTGGGGGCACAACAATGGTGGGTTGGTTTGTGGGTGTGGCTGGTTTGGAGTGACTGACAGGGGGTGTTTTTGTACTGGTTGGGGTGGAGGGGACTGACGATGAGGACTTGGACTGGGATTTTGTCCGTCCTTTTGACTGTTTGGGGATGACAGTTGGTATGTTCAGTTTCGTGGCTTGGCCAGATATGTGAGTAGGTGGGATTTTGGCAGTGGTTGCCTTAGATGGTAGGAGTGTTTTTCCAGTTTGTGATGAGCTTTTTGAAGAACCTCCACTGGGTTTTGTGTTTACTTGTAGGTTCTGTGGCATCTCCATCTTGCCACCCTTCATACTATTGGCCAAGGCTGCCTGGAAAAGTCCATCAACAGGATAATGAAAACCACAATCTACCACCAATATGATATCCAGAAATAACACCAGGGGTAAATTAATGAAAATAACATTATAAATGAGGTTATAAAATCAACAACAGTATCTTGACCATTCAAGATGGTCAAACATTTTCTTACCTGCATATTAGCTGCCATCATGCTTTGCTGTGTCTGAATGGGATTAGCTGTCCTGATATACAGTGATTGGCCAGCCAGGATGGCTGGGGATTGTGCATGGTTCAATAGGGGCTGGTGGGCAGCCAATGGGAAGCCTTGCTGCAAACTAGCCATGGCCTGAAGTACAGCCTGATTGGTGAGCATGGGCTGCGATGTGATGATCTGGCCTGTGTTTGTGACCAACTGTGGCTGACTGAGCCGAAGTGGCGCCTGTGATGTGATGAGCTGTGGCTGGCCCGGGTGGGAGAGGGAAACTGCCTGGCCCTTGGAGGACTGCAAGAAGGACGGCAGAGGTTTTATGTCTATACTTTTATTAAATTGTAGAAAACATAATTTACACAATTCTTTCAGCATGTTCAGTACTGTTTCTGTTCATTATCAATATTACTGCTTCTAGACAAACATGACTCCATGGGTGTGAGATTGTTTCATTCATTTGTTTTTTTGTTTCATTTGTTTGTTTGTTGTTTAACGTCAAACTAGGTCGTAGTCCAGCCATATGAAAGCAACCTGTAAATAATCAAGTCTGGGCCAGACAATCTACTGAATGATATTATGAGCAATGATCCAAGCCGGCAGGTAATCAACACACAATCAACCAGTCGCCAAACCTGGAAAAATTTAGAAAAGCATCCATGTAGTAGTTCTCAAGGTATAGGTCACACAAATGTTTAAGTAAAAAATTCTAAATAAAAAATGCTAAATAGCTGTATTTTTTCCAAAAATCCAAATATTGAAATCAAACTTTGCACTGCACCTCTCCTATTGGTATAGAAAGTGTTCACAAAGTTTGAAAAGAATCTAATCAGTATTTTTCAAGTCATAGGTTGCACACAAAAATATCCTAGGAAGGATGGACGGATGGAATTCCTTCGTATAACTACATACTCTCGCTCTTTTAGTTTTGGGGTATATTGATACAACTTACAAAATAAATTCAAAAGACTTTGTTTACTCCATACTGTATTCTGATGGTACAACTAAATCCAGACATGTTAAGCATGTGAAAAAAAAATTAATTCCTTGGGTAAATAAATATACAGAACACAGTTGTGGCAAGGCTTATTTTAGTTTACTTTTCAGCACCAATATTGGTAATTGACTTGATTAGGCACAGTATGTTTGGGCCAGATTGGAACAGAGCCCCATTCAGCAATGTATCAGGAATGTGAGCAGGTTTAGAGGAAAACTGTAGCCCCCCCCCCCCCCCCCCCCCCCCCGAAATTTAAAAACAAATTGATTTCATTTTCATTTTAAGCAATTTTGTGCAGTTTTGCCAACATTCACTCCAAGAAATGCAATAAGTCAATGGCAAAAGTCAGTGTCAAATAAACAAAGATGGCGGATGCAGTACAATTTCCAAGTTAAATCAGTACTTTTAAAAAATCAGGCATAGCTTCCGCGCATGGGTTCAATACATAAACTTCACCCCCCATAAGACATTAATACAATAGATATTTCGGATGCTGAAGCAACATTCATAGTTTTCTCGTTAATCACATGAACAACTGTAAAACATCTCATTCACTTATAGGCTAAATGACAACTTTATCTTAAAACAAGCAATCATCTGAGTACTTACAATTTCTGTGTGACGCCACACCCAACATTATAGTGCAAGTATTGGTGATAGAAAACGTATGATGTCCAAAAACCTTTGATCCGACGATAGTATTGTGTCATGAATAATAATAAAGGCATATATATGATGCTGAAAGCTCTGATTGAAAACAGGACAATCCGAGATGGTTGTCCGGAATCACAATAATATTTTTCGGAGTTTTTAAAAAAAATCTTTGATAATATTTTTTGTGGAAGATGATTTTTTCCCCCAAGGACTACTGTTTTAAAAAACAGTTTTATGCGTTTCCACGGAAATTTCACATCCCTGATGTAAACATGGTATAAGGACTGGTCCTACAGCCTGGGTTGGTGGGCCACACCCACTGGTAATACAAGACACATGTCAGTGTTAAGGGAGGGTTACCAATGGTTACCAACTTATGTAGTCAAAAGTTGAAAATGTCAACAGTATATATAATAAAGACAAAAGATACCGTCTTTATTTATATTCAATATTTTCAGCATAAATACTAAAAACTAACATGATAATCTAACAAGATAACTTTGATCCAGAGGATCAACACGGCGCAAAGAATGTTTGTAGCATTATTAATGCAAATACCGATACTATCAAAAAGCGCACATGTGTAACCCAGAGGATAAAACAAATAGTAACCTGCATGTGGGATCTTCAGAATCAGGAATGAGAATAGGGCACATTTCAGTTTAACTCTTTCAACACCAGTCAACCTGAAGTGTTTACTGCTGGGACACCGAGTTCCCAGAGACTCTTGTGTGATAGACGAAGCCAACATTTTGAAAGGTCTGATCCTATGGTTTATAAATATGAAAGTTATGTTTTTCACATTATTTAAAATAATGCATTAACAACTCAATTAAGTTTGTTGTAAATAAAAAATGTAAGCTAACACGTTGTTAACATCCAGATTAAGGACCAAGGAAGTGAAAACTTGACGATTTTCGGCAAATATTAGATTTCATAAAATCCACTTACCTATTTCTGTTTTATTTTCATTGTTTACGTAATTGGAAAATAGTTTCTGTCATCACCCATTTCCCGATAACATGAAGAAAAAAACACGTTTTCGAGGCTTCGTATGAATAACACGTTCGTCGAAGAATAGCATATGACACATTGCTGGAAAGCTTATTCCTTCATCTACACGCTTGTAACATCGCCTGGTTTTTTTCCGTAGTAATAACAAACGATTTCATTGGATTAAAATTGGTTTCTAATGACGCTTTCTTGCTGAAATCTGCTACAAATTTCGTGATTGGTCAATTTTGAGCACGTGACCTGAGGCAGCCAATCAAATTACAGCTGTGATACCAAGCTTGTGTTTGATAAATTTCAGAAGTTGGCGGAAGATTTTTGTTAAATCGTGTTATTCTGAACGTTTTAAAGGGCAAGTTCACACGGAAATGAACCTAATTTTCTTGTACTTTTTCCACAATAAAAGTGTTAACCTAGAAGTGTCAATGACAAAAATATAAAAATATCACAATTAATCAACAAATGTTTTGCATTAAAACGATTTATATTTTTCACATTTACCAAGTGTTCTATTTCCATAACAAAAACACCATGGGTTATGCCCCTTGCAATATGACGTCATTGGTGCCAATTGATAAACATTATGACGTCATCATGCTTTGTTAGAGCCGCTTCACGTGGTGTAGGTACAGGTGTGTGATTCTAGCGTCTCAGATGCCAGCCAGCATAGTGTTATGCTGAGTCACCACTGCGCGGAGTGTGTCGTAGGCCATGTTGTTTTACCGAAAACTTGTACTTGATATCTTTTGCGTTCAGAATAGACAGGGACCCAGTTGAATTGGCACCAATTACGTCATAATCTAAGGGAGATAACTCAGGCCTGTTTAGCTCGAAAAACGAAGGCCTCATAACGGCATATCATTTTCACACTATTGTGAGCTTCCTACTTTCACTGTGAAAAAAATGAGTGTATATTTTCAAACACAGATACTAACTAATTCTAAAATTGCGTTTTGTTTAGAAAAAGAAAGAAAGTAATTTTTGCGTGTACACTTCCCCTTTAAGCAGGAAATCATGATATATATTAAAAATATGGAACTTCGTGAATGTATCGTGCTAGGTTACAAGCTGTGACAAAGATTTTTCATGCATATATTTTTGCATTAAACATCGTGTCCGAGCCGAGAATTCAAGGCGACGAAAGAGATGTCATTTGACTTACATTACACGCAATTGCACGAAAAGATGGAAATAATAATTTAGATATAAGTTTGATTACTTTAAGATATATTTTTGTTGATTTTATGTATTACTTTGTATGATATATTTAAAGATTTGTTTAAAACGTCTTTGTTTTGGTCTTTGACATGTTCGATGTGGACCCGTTGTCGAAATGTGTGTCCGAGAATTTTATTTTCAATAACATCGCGGGAAATCGTGAATAAAAAATGATAAATTGAAATGGATATTGAAATGTGATAGATTTAAAAAATGAATGATATTACAGGTAGGTCCATAAAAATATATACTATTTTGACGTGACTACGGCTTAGCCGGTTAACCGGCCAACGGTTTCTGGGGACTCGATGCTTCTTGGCCGGAAAACCGCCCTACGGTGTTGAAAGAGTTAAATATTTATGTAATATACAAGTAGAAAACAAAATATTATGAATATAAACCTAGTAAATGTATTCACGACAAAGACTTCCTGAAACATTTGTTTGGTTTTCAAGGAACCTGGGGTATTTAGTTGACACAATCATAGTGGTATACATGATACTGTTTACAACGGTATGTCTAGAGAGGTAAAGTTATTAATATTGTTTCATAATTAATCTTTCAAAGTAATAGCTACAATGTTGTAATATTATTTTATAATGAAGTAGATCTGCACATGGAGACATGCAGATATTGTTAAGTTGAAACCCACAATGTTGTGAGTGTGCGTGTGAGTGTAATTTTTAACCACGAACCATACTGAATGAGAGTTATCTCCCTAATGGTTATATGTTTACTCCTATAGCCTGACACTTCTATTATTCACACTGTTACAAAGAGCTAATATCTCGCTACACGGAAATGGGTCAACATTCACCGCAGCGAATGCTGAATTGGGAAATAGGTCGGATAGAGGGAGACTGGTATCCGGGGCTCCGCCTCCTACTGGCTGCAGGTGAGGAGTGCAAGCACTCTAGGCAGGTAAACCAGTCTAGGGCAGTGTGTGGCTCCCTGTTATGATTATTGCAGAATAACATAAACATGTTTAGTGTAATAATTTACAGTTAAGGATGTTTCAAAAAATATTTTCATAATTATTTCTGTATTTTATCCCCCATGGCCAATGGCCCCATGTAATTTCCTCAAACCAACAACAAGGCAAGTTTTAAACTCTAAATGCCGACAAGCAAACAACCCCCAAGGTAAACACAGGGCTAAAAATTGTTGTACATAAGTGCACTAAAAACCTTGAGGGCACAACATGGAGCAGTTGCTAAGTTCTTTGTCTACCACTGACACAACAGACAAAGGAAGTATACTGGCAGTACTTCGTCATCTTAATTACTGACTCCATCAAGTTATTCATTTCAACACAGTCAGAGACAGTGAACATTATTGTGTCCATCATCACAGCATAACAGCAAGAATACAACTCACCGCCACCTGGGCCACGAAGTTAGGGTTGTTCGTTCCTTGTCCCGAGAACACGGCACCTGAAAGTGCAATACACAGTTGCAGCACTGAACACACAATGGGACAATTAGTGCTGCACATCCTGTCTCTGGGTAACAGCTGCAGCTGACAACATGGACAACAGATTTCCTGTGCAGAAACATCATTCATGGAAGCATAAATACTCTCTGCACTATACCGCACACTGACTAAGGCAGAAGGCTTTAATGTCCAAAGTTGATTGGGACACCACCAAAGGAGGGGGGAGGGGGATCAAGTTGAGCAAATCTTTTTTGTTATGTTATATAATTTTTAAGGAAAAGGAAGGTATTGTGTATGATATAGTTTTATTACAGTAAGTAAGGTTCAGTGTGTAACATCCTACAGTTGGGTGTGTGTAACATTGTAAGTAGTCGATCCTCATTGAGGGGCCTGAAGTTAGCAGCGGGTTCGTGACTTGTTATTACGAATAACGAAAAACAAGCCAGCACCGGGTTTGTTATTCAAAGGCTGTATATTAAACTACAGTAATGTGGTGAAATATACTGAAACTCATTTGATATGACAGTAGATTCGCCTTACATTGTCCAAAGATGTTTAGTTATTCAGTACTTTTGAATAACGAAAAACAAGCCAGCACCGTGTTCGTTATTGAGACTTAAAATAAAGAATTCCTCATTGAGTCAGCTACTACAAGCAAGGAGTTCTGGACACCTATTTCATCCCACATGCCAAGTAGGAGTAATGCTGAAGCACAGACATTGTACAGTACATAGATTTGTGGGTGAAGAAGCCATCCCCGGTAATAACTGGGCTGAATCTGTTCAGCTTTAACGGCCAATATAAAGGTCCTGTGTATACTGTTACATTTAGCTGTACATAACATGCCCCAGTGCAGCCTAATATTATGTCGACATGAACTAACTGCATGTAAAAACATTCAAAGTTTGTGTCTTCACTAACCCTTAATCACCCACACAACATCAATCTTTGAACACATTCAATACTGGGGTCGGGTACTGAAGGGATAAAGTATATCACAATATTTTGCGATGCACAAGGCCGTATTGGGATACGCATCACGATATAATGTATCATTCTAAATTTTGAATTCAGAAGCAATCTGATAAATTAAGGTATGAACTGAAGTTCATTGATGGAACAAAACAAAATGCTGGTACAACATCATGTTCACTCAGTCAATAAATACGCAGCCATCTGTGGGGCCCTGGATGTACGCAGCAAAGGCATTTGGCAAGTATATTCAAGACGATGTAGTGCAATGTCACTAAAGAAGTTTAATCCCTGAGGTTGACCACCGTTTCACATTATGATATTTAGACTGTAACAATAAGTACTAACTATTAAAAACATGACACAGTCATCAGATATCTGAGATTTTATATATTTTGGTAAATTTATGGGACAAGGTGCAACCTAATTTTGTCTGGTGCAACTAGTTTTTCATGTCAATGTGCACTTGGTGCAATCAATATTAATTTCATTATCGAGCCCTCAATCACTGAACTATTGAATCCCTGGTTATTTTCTGGTTGGTCCGAGGGCCACTGCCACACCTACCTATCTGTCCCAGCACTAGAGGTTGGGCAGCAGCCTGGGCCGACATCACAGCAGGCTTGCCCCCTACGAGAGCTGTTGCCTGGCCTTGAGTGGGCCCTTGTATGGACTGAGACTTGTTCCCATTGGTTGACCCCTTGACACTGTTGACGTTACTCCCTGAAGTGGCTGTTACTGAAGTGGTCACAATCATCCCCGGCTGCAAACAGACGTCATGACACTGTACCTGCTTCCCAGTCCATAGAAGGATATAGCATAAACATCTGTCACCTAGGCTGAAGTATGGAAGTTGAAACAGTGATGGGACCACTCTCAACATATTTCAGTTATATCCTGGCGTGTCAGCAATACGTGGGAGTTGCCAGAAGAGATGCAGGTCTCCAGTACATAGTGAAATGCCTGAGCATGGCATGGTGTCAATAAACCAATCAGGGTGAATCTTGCCTTAAAAAAAAGGCAATACAAACATGGCAGGCCAACCAAGTGTGGTGCTTCAGACAACTGGGCCCCCACATACAGACCTGGAGAGTGACATAGATTCATACACTACACAGTCAGTACACATTATACTGATGATGAACATGGTGAATGAGCAAGCAGAATCGAAGGGACAACTCTGGACAGCACACAAAACCTTCAGTTTCATTATTTCTTGGTGATCATGGAAATTTAGTTTCTTAACTGTTATTATTGTTAATCTCATGTGATATACTCTGACATATCATGCAAGAGTTGAGGATCAGTGGCTTTGCTTTACCCACTTATTTCGAACACACCTGACTGAGCACATGAAGTAACCTTCATCACTTGGGTGTTAAGATTAATGATCCCATGAGATGATAAACAATATTTCATTCCCCGTATTGACACGAAACATTAAGAGAATGAATACTGTATGTATCCATTGATTGATGATCCACCACAAGCATGATATACAAACCTTACATAAATACTGACATAAAATTGACAAGATCTTGATCTGATAAGTGAAAACTCTGAGACAAGGATTTATTTAGTACTCCAAGCAAAGTAAGGAAATTGGAAAATACAAATGTCAGTGGTACTTGAACACTGTGTATTAACATTGTTTTCAATGCAAAAATGTAAAACTAAGCATTTAGCCCCATGCTCTTTATAGGTTATTTCTATATTAACATGACCTCTATTTTTTTCAAAACAACAATGGGAAGTTTTAACTGACATTTGCATTGATATTCAAATGTTTTCTACATAAGTAATGAGGATTAGAACCAACCAAAGCTTATTTCGAGCCCTGTCCAACTAATCAAACATTAGGATCAAATATGGCAGAGTAATGGCCATAGAAGTGCTTTCCAACATTGAAAATCATATTTAAATAATTCAGGAATAATCATTGGTGAAAACATGCACAATGGTTCCTGAGGAGAATATGTTTACAGTGTAGAATGTTCACAGTGGAGAATGTTTACAGTGAAGAATATCTTTAAAGTGGAGAATGTTTACAGTGGAGAATGTTTACAGTGGAGAATATGTTTACAGTGGAGAATGTTTACAGTGGAGAATATGTTTACAGTGGAGAATATGTTTACAGTGGAGAATGTTTACGGTGGAGAATGTTTACGGTGGAGAATATGTTTACAGTGGAGAATGTTTACAGTGGAGAATGTTTACAGTGGAGAATATGTTTACAGTGGAGAATATGTTTACAGTGGAGAATGTTTACAGTGGAGAATATGTTTACAGTGGAGAATGTTTACAGTGGAGAATATGTTTACAGTGGAGAATATGTTTACAGTGGAGAATGTTTACAGTGGAGAATGTTTACAGTGGAGAATATGTTTACAGTGGAGAATATGTTTACAGTGGAGAATATGTTTACAGTGGAGAATGTTTACAGTGGAGAATGTTTACAGTGGAGAATGTTTACAGTGGAGAATATGTTTACAGTGGAGAATGTTTAAAGTGGAGAATGTTTACAGTGGAGAATATGTTTACAGTGGAGAATGTTTACAGTGGAGAATGTTTATAGTGGAGAATATGTTTAAAGTGGAGAATGTTTACAGTGGAGAATATGTTTACAGTGGAGAATGTTTACAGTGGAGAATATGTTTACAGTGGAGAATGTTTACAGTGGAGAATATGTTTACAGTGGAGAATGTTTACAGTGGAGAATGTTTACAGTGGAGAATATGTTTACAGTGGAGAATGTTTATAGTGGAGAATGTTTATAGTGGAGAATATGTTTAAAGTGGAGAATGTTTACAGTGGAGAATGTTTACAGTGGAGAATGTTTACAGTGGAGAATGTTTACAGTGGAGAATATGTTTACAGTGGAGAATGTTTACAGTGGAGAATATGTTTACAGTGTAGAATGTTTACAGTGGAGAATGTTTACAGTGGAGAATGTTTACAGTGGAGAATATGTTTACAGTGGAGAATATGTTTACAGTGGAGAATATGTTTACAGTGGAGAATGTTTACAGTGGAGAATATGTTTACAGTGGAGAATGTTTAAAGTGGAGAATATGTTTACAGTGGAGAATGTTTACAGTGGAGAATATGTTTACAGTGTAGAATGTTTACAGTGGAGAATATGTTTAAAGTGGAGAATGTTTACAGTGGAGAATGTTTACAGTGGAGAATGTTCACAGTGGAGAATGTTTACAGTGGAGAATGTTTACAGTGGAGAATGTTTACAGTGGAGAATGTTTAAAGTGGAGAATATGTTTACAGTGGAGAATGTTTACAGTGGAGAATGTTTACAGTGGAGAATATGTTTACAGTGGAGAATGTTTATAGTGGAGAATGTTTATAGTGGAGAATATGTTTACAGTGGAGAATGTTTACAGTGGAGAATGTTTACAGTGGAGAATGTTTAAAGTGGAGAATATGTTTACAGTGGAGAATGTTTACAGTGGAGAATATGTTTACAGTGGAGAATGTTTACAGTGGAGAATATGTTTACAGTGGAGAATGTTTACAGTGGAGAATATGTTTACAGTGTAGAATGTTTACAGTGGAGAATGTTTACAGTGGAGAATATGTTTACAGTGGAGAATGTTTACAGTGGAGAATATGTTTACAGTGGAGAATGTTTACAGTGGAGAATGTTTACAGTGGAGAATATGTTTACAGTGTAGAATGTTTATAGTGGAGAATGTTTATAGTGGAGAATATGTTTAAAGTGGAGAATGTTTACAGTGGAGAATGTTTACAGTGGAGAATGTTTACAGTGGAGAATGTTTACAGTGGAGAATATGTTTACAGTGGAGAAAATGTTTACAGCAGAGAACGTTTACAGTGGAGAATATGTTTACAGTGGAGAATGTTTACAGTGAAGAATGTTTACAGTGGAGAATATGTTTACAGTGGAGAATGTTTACAGCAGAGAACGTTTACAGTGGAGAATATGTTTACAGTGGAGAATGTTTACAGTGAAGAATGTTTACAGTGGAGAATATGTTTACAGTGGAGAATGTTTACAGTGGAGAATGTTTACAGTGGAGAATGTTTACAGTGGAGAATGTTTACAGTGGAGAATATGTTTACAGTGGAGAAAATGTTTACAGCAGAGAACGTTTACAGTGGAGAATATGTTTACAGTGGAGAATGTTTACAGTGAAGAATGTTTACAGTGGAGAATATGTTTACAGTGGAGAATGTTTACAGCAGAGAACGTTTACAGTGGAGAATATGTTTACAGTGGAGAATGTTTACAGTGAAGAATGTTTACAGTGGAGAATGTTTACAGTGGAGAATGTTTACAGTGGAGAATATGTTTACAGTGGAGAATGTTTATAGTGGAGAATGTTTATAGTGGAGAATATGTTTAAAGTGGAGAATGTTTACAGTGGAGAATGTTTACAGTGGAGAATGTTTACAGTGGAGAATGTTTAAAGTGGAGAATATGTTTACAGTGGAGAATGTTTACAGTGGAGAATATGTTTACAGTGGAGAATGTTTACAGTGGAGAATATGTTTACAGTGGAGAATGTTTACAGTGGAGAATATGTTTACAGTGGAGAATGTTTACAGTGAAGAATGTTTACAGTGGAGAATATGTTTACAGTGGAGAATGTTTACAGTGGAGAATGTTTACAGTGGAGAATGTTTACAGTGGAGAATGTTTACAGTCGAGAATGTTTACAGTGGAGAATGTTTACGGTGGAGAATATGTTTACAGTGGAGAATGTTTACAGTGGAGAATGTTTACAGTGGAGAATGTTTACAGTGGAGAATATGTTTACAGTGGAGAAAATGTTTACAGTGGAGAACGTTTACAGTGGAGAAAGTTTGCAGTGGAAAATATGTTTACAGTGGAGAATATTTATAGTGGAGAATGTTTACAGTGGAAAATATGTTTACAGTGGAGAATGTTTACAGTGGAGAATGTTTACAGTGGAGAATGTGTTTACAGTGAAGAATGTTTACGGTGGAGAATATGTTTACAGTGGAGAATGTTTACAGTGGAGAATGTTTACAGTGGAGAATATGTTTACAGTGGAGAATGTTTACGGTGGAGAATATGTTTACAGTGGAGAATGTTTACAGTGGAGAATATGTTTACAGTGGAGAAAATGTTTACAGTGGAGAACGTTTACAGTGGAGAAAGTTTGCAGTGGAGAATATGTTTATAGTGGAGAATGTTTACAGTGAAGAATGTTTACAGTGGAGAATATGTTTACAGTGGAGAAAGTTTGCAGTGGAGAATATGTTTACGGTGGAGAATATGTTTACAGTGGAGAATGTTTACAGTGGAGAATATGTTTACAGTGGAGAATATGTTTACAGTGGAGAATGTTTACAGTGGAGAAAGTTTGCAGTGGAAAATATGTTTACAGTGGAGAATGTTTACAGTGGAGAATGTTTACAGTGGAGAATGTTTATAGTGGAGAATATGTTTACAGTGGAGAATGTTTACGGTGGAGAATATGTTTACAGTGGAGAATGTTTACAGTGGAGAAAATGTTTACAGTGGAGAATATGTTTACAGTGGAGAAAGTTTGCAGTGGAAAATATGTTTACAGTGGAGAATATTTATAGTGGAGAATGTTTACAGTGGAAAATATGTTTACAGTGGAGAATGTTTACAGTGGAGAATGTTTACAGTGGAGAATGTTTACAGTGGAGAATATGTTTACAGTGGAGAAAATGTTTACAGCAGAGAACGTTTACAGTGGAGAATATGTTTACAGTGGAGAATATGTTTACAGTGGAGAATGTTTACAGTGAAGAATGTTTACAGTGGAGAATATGTTTACAGTGGAGAATGTTTACAGTGGAGAATGTTTACAGTGGAGAATATGTTTACAGTGGAGAATGTTTACAGTGGAGAATGTTTACAGTGGAGAATATGTTTACAGTGGAGAAAATGTTTACAGCAGAGAACGTTTACAGTGGAGAATATGTTTACAGTGGAGAATGTTTACAGTGAAGAATGTTTACAGTGGAGAATATGTTTACAGTGGAGAATGTTTACAGTGGAGAATGTTTACAGTGGAGAATATGTTTACAGTGGAGAATGTTTACAATGGAGAATGTTTACAGTGGAGAATGTTTACAGTGGAGAATGTTTACAGTGAAGAATGTTTACGGTGGAGAATATGTTTACAGTGGAGAATGTTTACAGTGGAGAATGTTTACAGTGGAGAATGTTTACAGTGGAGAATATGTTTACAGTGGAGAAAATGTTTACAGCAGAGAACGTTTACAGTGGAGAATATGTTTACAGTGGAGAATGTTTACAGTGAAGAATGTTTACAGTGGAGAATATGTTTACAGTGGAGAATGTTTACAGCAGAGAACGTTTACAGTGGAGAATATGTTTACAGTGGAGAATGTTTACAGTGAAGAATGTTTACAGTGGAGAATATGTTTACAGTGGAGAATGTTTACAGTGGAGAATGTTTACAGTGGAGAATATGTTTACAGTGGAGAATGTTTTCAGTGGAGAATATGTTTACAGTGGAGAATGTTTACAATGGAGAATGTTTACAGTGGAGAATATGTTTACAGTGGAGAATGTTAACAGTGGAGAATATGTTTACAGTGGAGAATGTTTACGGTGGAGAATATGTTTATAGTGGAGAATGTTTACAGTGGAGAATATGTTTATAGTGGAGAATATGTTTATAGTGGAGAATGTTTACAGTGGAGAATATGTTTATAGTGGAGAATGTTTACAGTGGAGAATATGTTTATAGTGGAGAATGTTTACAGTGGAGAATATGTTTATAGTGGAGAATGTTTACAGTGGAGAATGTTTACAGTGGAGAATATGTTTATAGTGGAGAATGTTTACAGCGGAGAATGTTTACAGTGGAGAATGTTTACAGTGGAGAATATGTTTACAGTGGAGAATGTTTACAGTGGAGAATATGTTTACAGTGGAGAATATGTTTACAGTGGAGAATGTTTACAGTGGAGAATATGTTTATAGTGGAGAATGTTTACAGTGGAGAATGTTTACAGTGGAGAATATGTTTACAGTGGAGAATGTTTACAGTGGAGAATATGTTTATAGTGGAGAATGTTTACAGTGGAGAATGTTTACAGTGGAGAATATGTTTACAGTGGAGAATGTTTACAGTGGAGAATATGTTTACAGTGGAGAATATGTTTACAGTGGAGAATGTTTACAGTGGAGAATATGTTTATAGTGGAGAATATGTTTACAGTGGAGAATGTTTACAGTGGAGAATATGTTTACAGTGGAGAATGTTTACAGTGGAGAATATGTTTACAGTGGAGAATATGTTTACAGTGGAGAATATGTTTACAGTGGAGAAAATCTACCATTGTAATTACAATTCTAACTCACATAAACACTTAAATTTATGAAAACACTCTAACTTAAATCACTAAATGTCTTTGGTGTTACTTAACTCTTTCAACACCAGTCAACCAGAAGTGTTTACTGCTGGGACACCGAGTTCCCCGAGACTCTTGTGTGATAGATGAAGCCAACATTTATCAAAGAAAATATCTGCTTGTAAAATATATTTGCTACTACATGTTATACACCATTTGAAAGGTCTGATCATATGGTTTATAAATATGAAAGTTATGTTTTTCACATTATTTAAAATAATGCATTTACAACTCAATTAAGTTCGTTGTAAATAAAAAATGTAAGCTAACACATTGTTCACATCCAGATTAAGGACCAAGGAAGCGAAAACTTGACGATTTTCGGCAAATATAAGATTTCATAAAATCCTCTTACCTAATTCTGTTTATTTTCATTGTTTACGTAATTGGAAAATCATTTTAAAAAGAATATTATATAGTTTCTGTTGTCACCCATTTCCCCGATAACAGCGGCTGTCCGCTCAGTAACATGAAGAAATACCCCAGTTTTCGAGGCTTCATATGAACAACACGTTCGTCGAAGAATAGCATATGACACATTGCTGGAAAGCTTATTCCTTCATCTACACGCTCGTAACATCGCCTGGTTTTTTGTCTGTAGTTATAACAAGCGATTTCACTGGATTAAAATTGGTTTCTAATAACGCTTTCTTGCCGAAATCTGCTACAGATTTCGTGATTAGTCAATTATGAGCACATGACCTGAGGCAGCCAATCAAATTACAGCTGTGATACCAAGCTTGTGTTTGATAAATTTCAGAAGTTGGCGGAAGATTTTTGTTAAATCGTGTTATTCTGAACGTTTTAAGCAGGAAATCACGATATATATTAAAAATATGGAACTTCGTGAATGTATCGTGCTATGTTATAAGCTGTGACAAAGATTTTTCATGCATATATTTTTGCATTAAAGTTAAACATCGTGTCCAAGCCGAGTATTTAAGGCGACGAAAGCCGAGATGTCATTTGACTTACATTACACGCAATCGCACGAAAAGATGGAAATAATAATTTAGATGTAAGTTTGATTACTTTTAGATATATTTTTGTTGATTTTATTAATACTTTGTATGATATATTTAAAGATTTGTTTAAAATGTCTTTGTTTTGCTCTTTGACCTGTTGTCATTGTGAAATGTGATAGATTTAATAAATGAATGATATTACAGGTAGGTCCATAAAAATATATACTATTTTGACATGACTACGGCTTGGACGGTTTACCGGCCTACAGTGTCTGGGGACTCGATGCTTCTTGGCCGGAAAACCGGCCTACGGTGTTGAAAGAGTTAATATGTCCTTGGTTTTACCACAAATCAGCAGTTTTAACTTCAAAGAAAATGTCTGACGCCATTGCAAATACCAGAGGCGTTACCACAGGAAATTCTGAAAATGATTCAGGTTAACACACATAGCATGATTTTCAACAAGTACAAGGAATATGTTCCATAAAAATAGAATATTGAAATTATATCAATCATTTTGGTAATGTGTGGGACACAGAGAAGAGTAAGGCTAAAAATAATAATAGAGAACTAAGACTATTATTTTTTTAGCCTTACTCTTCTCTGTGTCCCTGTGCCTGAGGCACTGCCCACATCATCATAGTCTTATTTCCATTTTAAAAAAAAATGAAAAAATCCTACTACTTTAAAACAATGCGGTCCAATATAAGCCTTGTTTGAACATGCAAAAACAAAAAACAAAAAACAAAACAAAAAAACACCACCCGCCTGCACTATATATTCAAAAGCCTGAGAACCAATTCTTTTACTTTTTTATGCCTAAATCGTAAATTTTTCTTTTTATTTCTCACAAAGAGTGATAATCCAGGCTTTAAAACGTTGTGATGTTAAAAGGGAGATTCTTTTTCTTTTCTAGGCAGAGGTAAAATATTAGTTTTAGAATAATACACCGAAAGAAATGTTGTATTTATTTTTTATTTCTGCAAAAGATTGGGAACTATAATGGTTACACCAAGGACAATAGATTTCCACTGTTTCTCCAGTATATTTGAAATATTTCAAAATTATGTTTCTTTGTGTTGACATAATTAAACCAACTGTTTGTTAAGTTCAGATGTTTCTTGTTAAATCACTAAAAGTTGGAATTTTCAAGTTTTATTTTTGTTTATTCAAGAGGACCAAAGGGGGTACAAATTATGATAATGACCCAGTAACATTTATTACTTTATTTGTAACATTTGACTATCATTGCATACTTTTGTCCTTTATTTCAACTTTGTATTTTTTGACCGAATGGCCGCCCATAGAGGTCCACTTAACTGAGAAATTATGTCTGTATAACACCATAAGTGGCTGTAGTCGTGGCAATATTGAACATGGGAATTGAACTTCTTGAACAAATTGGGATATCATTATTGATGGGAACACGCATGCCTCATTTTGGCTTTTATCAGCGCAGTGATTTTGAAGGCGTTTATTGACAACAGACACATACAAATTGAGTATCAGTCAGTTGAGCTAATAATACTCAAGTATCTGTGTCTCAAAAGTCAACCAAGACTCAAGTTTTCAGTGTACAGAAGAGAGGGTAGACCAGTCCCAAGCTGCCTATGCCAACACTGAATGTGTTTGTGACTAACAAAATAATCAGATGTCTATCAAGTTGAATAAAGAATGTTTTACTGTCAAATGTCTTTGTGATGGGTGAGCCGTGAGCATGGCTCCTCCTGTCCAGTCTACAGCCAAGCCGACCTGCATCAAAAGTTCTTATGAACAACAATTACTAAATTTGTGTCTCATTAGCTTGTTATTCTGGGGTCATCATTTGCTATATGTACTCCCCAAAACTTAAGATACACAACCAGATTTTTGGATTGAGAAGGAATACACATTCTGTACATTAGGGCTGGGACGAGTCCTAATTTACTACCCGGGGAACCACACCCCTATTAGCTATATATATGGATAAATCATCACTGAACCAAACCATATATTAAATAATCGCTGAACCAAACTATATATATATGGATAAATCATCACTAAACCAAACCGTATATATATGGATAAATCATCACTGAACAAAACTGTATATATATGGATAAATCATCACTGAACAAAACCATATATTAAATAATCGCTGAACCAAACCATATATATATGGATAAATCATCACTGAACCAAACCATATATTAAATAATCGCTGAACCAAACCATATATATATAGTTTAATCATCACTAAACCAAACCATATATATATGGATAAATCATCACTGAACAAAACCTTATATATATGGATAAATCATCACTGAACCAAACCATATTAAATAATCACTGAACCAAACTGTATACATGTGGATAAATCAACACTAAACCAAACCGTATATATATGGATAAATCATCACTGAACAAAACCATATATATATGGATAAATCATCATTGAACCAAACTGTATTTATATGGATTAATCATCGCTGAACCAAACCGTATATATATATATGGATAAATCATCACTGAACCAAACTGTACATTAAATAATCACTGAACAAAACCGTATGTACATATGGATAAATCATCACTGATCTAAACCCTATATTAAATAATCGCTGAACCTAACCATATTTATATATATGGATAAATCATGGCTGAACAAAACCGTATATATATGGATAAATCATCACTGAACCAAATCGTATTTATATGGATAAATCATCACTGAATGAAACTATATATTTTATATGGTTTAATCATTGCTGAACCAAACCGTACATTAAATAATCACTGAAAAAAACTGTATGTACATATGGATAAATCATCACTGAACTAAACCATATATTAAATAATCGCTTAACCTAACCATATATATATATATATATGGACAAATCATCACTGAACCTAACCATATATATATATGGATAAATCATCACTAAACCAAACCATATATATATGGATAAATCGTCACTGAACCAAACCATATATTAAATAATCGCAGAACCTAACCATATATATATATATGGATAAATTATCACTGAACAAAACCGTATATTTATGGATAAATCATCGCTGAACAAAACCATATATTTATGGATAAATCATCGCTGGACCAAACTGTATATATATGGATAAATCATCACAGAACAAAACCGTATATATATGGATAAATCATCACTGAACCAAACTGTATATATATGGATAAATCGTCACTGAACAAAACCGTATATACACTGAAAGGCAAAAGAAACGTCATGTGGATGTATCATATAAATATTTTTATTTTCAAATGCTTATATAATATGTACGTAAAGACATCGGAGAAAGTCAGTGTTTGACCCACATGAAATTAACAGTCTGGGGAATGTTTTTGCGAATTGTGAATTTTGGGAGGCACCAGAAGACATCACAGCTGGGGGGGGCAAAATCAGTACCTGGTGTGGCCACCCATGGGCGTTGACTACAGCCACACATCTCCTGTACATGGAGTGGACAAGTCTGTTAATGTAGGCCATTGGGATATGGGCCCATATCCTCAGGAACGCTACACGCAGTTCTGCTGCATTTGTCGGCCTTGGGCGTACGTCGTTGAGTCGGCGTTGGATCTCATCCCACAAGTGTTCAATGGGATTCAAATCCGGACTGAGGGCAGGCCCAGGCATGATTTGGATGTTGTGCTGCTGGAGGAAGTCCCTGGTGACTCTGGCAGTGTGGGGACGGGCGTTGTCTTGCTGAAAGGTGTGGTTTTGATGACGGGCCAAAAAAGGCACGATATGGAGTCTGAGGACTTGGTCAATGTAGCAGAGAGCTGTGATGCCCTTACCCCTGCCTGGACCAATATTCTGAAAGACCACAGCTCCCACTCTCTGGTTCAGTCCGATTCCACCCAAAACCATGATGCTTGGTCCGCCCCACGGGTCTCGTTCCATAACACAAGCATCAGCATAATGTTCGCCCCTCCTTTGCCAGACCCTGACTGCCATCCACCGTTGAAACACAGTAGGGACTTTCATCAGTGAAGATGATTCTTCTCCATTGCTGTTGACGCCAATTTTGATGCTGCCTTGCCCATTGCAGTCGGGCCTGTCGATGACGATCTCTCAGGATGGGTACACGAGCAGGACGGTGGCACAAGATGTTGTTGGCAGTAAGGAGACGTCAGACCGTATATATATGGATAAATCATCACTGAACAAAACCGTATATATATGGATAAATCATCACTGAGCAAAACCATATATATATGGATAAATCATCACTGAACAAAACAGTACATATATATATGGATAAATCATCACTGAACAAAACAATATTCCAAAGTTGTCATTCTCCCTCAGATCAATCTTGTGGTTCTCATTTTTCTTTTTCATTTTGTAATATTTGTGTTAGTTATTTGGTTCTAGCTGCATTTTGATGATTCTACAAATGACATCCTATTCATTCTTCACATATCATTTATGTGCAAATGTCTTTCATATATGTACATCAATATCACCCGCATTTCTTTTTTTCAGGGGGCCAGGATAAAGCCCCAGGTCTGATTCCCTTCATTGATACCCATGAAGCCCATTTCTGGAATAATGCTAACATTAGGGTAAAACCATACTCGCTGTATCTTTTTCCTTGATAACACATCAAAAGAAAATCAGTAGCAACTACGTATGTCACCAGTTACACATTTAGATACTTCAACACAACTGATGACAGTAAGACTGTGTGTCAATACGACACACAATCAACATCTTGGCATTTTGCTAAATGTCAAAATGCACTCAGAAACTGTTTTGTTTCTCTTTCTTGTCTGCAACAGAAGTGAAGATGAGAGTTATCTCCCCTGGTTGGGTGCTTGTGTACAGGGACTCGAGTCCATCCAAACTACCCATACCGATCAGGGACATACAGGGCATTAAGGAGGAGAAGCTGCTCACCTGTGACGATGTGGGTGACATCAAGCCAGGGCTTGTTGGGCTGACTGAGGGAGGCCTTCCCTGCATTGCAGCTGCCATGTTCAATTGTTGTTGGGCCATGGCTGCTGGAAGAAAAGACAGGAACATCAAGTGAGTTGGGGTTAGATGTGAGGAGTTTAGCTACACATGACACGCTGGCAGATCGGAATCAGAGATGCCTAACCAAGGGCACAAGAATGGTGCTGACAAACTCTGAGGATCCACAGAGATAGTGTTGAGAGTGCTACCATTAGAATCATACAACACATAACTATTGAGCATGTGTACTGGAGGTGTAATCACAGTAATGATAGGGTGGGGTCGCAACACAGTATGTGTCCTGATACTATGGGTGTGATACAATTCGTATTCCGATACAGTACTATTATTTTATATTCTTCCGTTTTGCAGGTGAATCACAACCCTGAAACATTTGTTTTCCAATTTCAGAGCTCGAAGATGGGATATTGTTGAGTTGAAACATATTCATAACTAACCAGGAAATAACCAGTTTTTGCTATTCACGTTTTACACCAACACAACTTGTTATGTAATGAATCATATGTATCGCGATGCAGGGTTTGTAAATCAATGTACTGCCTCATATTGGGATACAAAACTGTATAGCCATAACCTTGGTCTACCAGTCCACACTAGTTCTTTTTGGGGTCACAAGAAAATAAAAACTGAGGCAAATGGAAAGTTGGCACTCACCAACTGCGGCGTTCTGCAGCATGATCTGCGGGTTGTAGGGGAAATTGGAGAGATAGGGTGGGCTGTGCATTGGCTGGGGGATCACTTGCACCTGGGGGATCTGGGACAGGGCTGACGAGGACCGAATGTTGGCCATTGTCACTATTGGGGGTGCTTGTGGTGGCGCTGTAGGCGTCCCGGGGGTGCTGGTGCTTGTTCGCTGCTCAGACATGGTTTCAGTTTGCCGTCCTCTTTCTTAGTCTTCTGGAAACAATCAGTTACCATTGTTTGTAAATAAACTTAACAAAACTTATTAAACTATTGCCAAGTTGGTTAAATCAAAGAACTCTAATTGACTATTAAAATAATGTTTCATTTCCACAGATATTGATGCTTATAAATATATTGCCATTAATTCATAAACATAATAAATCATTGCCAAATGTATGCTGCCGTATTAGAAAGAAACATTAATATTTTCATGCTTAGCTATTCATAGTAACTTGTTCATTAACGTAAATAGTAAAATGCTGCAGTATTTATCATAAATTCTCTATCAGCACCAAAAAGCTGGTAATAACAGCTGGGCACAAGTCCATGTCGTCAAAACCAGTTTATCCTGGTGTGGGTTATCTTTGCTTTGGGGATTTCAACACTTCGTTTGTTTTTTGTCATCTTTCGCATTGTACTTTACTCCTGGGGAGTAGGAAGACAAGCGTAGAATACGGTAAAGACTCTACAGAGATAAATGTTCCGTTAAATATATGACTAAAATATTTCAGTTATGTCGTCTGTTCGTGGCTGCATTGATGGATTCAAATATAGCTGCACTCTGATACATTCACTGAAATGGTTAGGAGGGTGTTAGGTGATGTTGATCTATTGGAGGATCTAGACACCCTTCCTTACTTATCTGCCCCTGTTATTCAGGGCCAATGACCCCCCATGGGGAAGATTTGTCTACCGGCCCCGTCGTTCGTTTTGGGGTAAAATTTAGGTATTCTTTTAACAGCAATTAAAACAAAAGCAGGTTAAATAAATCAACATAATATTTGTCTATCGACTCACCAATGTTGTATTTGCGAAAGCATTACTTAATATTAATAAATCGTCAATATACTCACAAAGAACTTGCATTCTGACTTTATTAACAGACGGCCATTTTGTTGACCTATTATCAGCCGTCTTCTATTATTATACGTCACTGGCACCTGCTCGTCGTTGATTGGTTGAAGGATATCAAACATCAATTTCATTGGATGAGACAAAGAGGGCGGTGCTCAGTAAATACCTATCCGGACAGAGAATTTCCAACGCGAATATTGATGTTGTCTGTTGCTTAAAATTTGTCACACATCTAAAAAAACCCAAAAAAACGTGCATATCAAGTCTTACACGTATTGTATACTCTGTAATATAAGCCATTGTCAATATGAACGAAGCAATCGATATCATGATCTTCTAAATTGTTATAACAAAAGCACAGGGCTTCATAGACAATCAAATTTGAGTTGCTTCCCTTAGATCATCTGACCACTATTGGATAGTTCTTATTCACGATGTCTACACCCACAAACCCTAAACTGTGACAAAATATTCATAGTTTACGCACTGCGTGGAGAGTTATATTGACATATTCATTGGCTAAGTGTCTTTGAATGAGTGAACTATAAATGTTTTCAGGATGTAATAAACAAGTTGTAATAGAAAAAAGTAACAGTGAAAATAAAAACACAACAACTAAAAATATGTAATCGATAAGTGGTGAGTGAGTATGGTTTTTGACCTTGACACCACCCCCCCTCAGTTGCCCCTCTCCCCTGGATTTTTTTTATAGAAAACATTTTTCCATGTGAAAGTTAACTTAAATAATAAATGAATAATCTTATTTGAAATGGACTAGCTTGTTTGGTCTACAGAAGTGGAGTAGTCTCCCATATCATTATACACGTTGGAATGCATTTACAAATCAATAGCTTCTAAAACAAAACACCTTTTTTTATCAATATCATGTGCATTTTCTATATCGGGTGAATATCGATCACGTTATCCCTCTTTACGGTGAACTTTAAAAAATACCAAGTAACTACAAATTGAAAACGTGTGAAAATAACTCCGTGCATTGTTAACTTTTCGCACATGTACCTGATGCACAATTATCATTATACTTCCAGTGGCGGATCCAGTGTGTGTGAGTGTGAGTGTGTGTGAGTGTGTGTGTCAGCATGTGTGGTGGTGGTGGTGTGTGTCCGGCCGACTGGAATATCGCCGACTGCGGCGGCAAGACAACATCCATCCACCATGGCACCTCGCTTGCCATGGGGCATATCTGTCCTAAGATTTCTGTGGCTGTGTAGTGTTTGATGTGCGGTAGCGTCCGACATGGTGACATAACATGCATGACGATGCTGAGATGAACAGCAAGAGTATTCTGTATTCACATTCATGGGGATGACGTTTCACTTCTCAATGTAATAATCTATACATGCACACTGGGACTGTAGGCACCGATTGACAAAACAGATGATCGAGTCCTCCCCCTTCTACACAAGTAATGGTACGTAATTTGCCCAATTCATGGTGTAGAGTAACGTACACGATGTCGTCAAACGATTATTCATGGGTAACACTGAATAGTACTGCCTAGGATTGTGTGGACGGAGCGTTGTTCACAAATTAACATTTTAAAGCAACTTCCGAGAGTTTATTTAGGGTCCATGGTTTAATAAACAATCGTGTGGCGAATATGAACGATACAGCCATATGCGTTTTGAAGTGAAAATGAACATTTTACGTGCGCATCTAGTGATATGGTTCCAATAACATTCGACATGTACTGACCAACTGTGCGTTACTTTCGCCTTCTTTCCATACACGGCACAGTGCTTCAACCATTCAGTCAGGCTGTGTGTACAATGTTGTCATTTCTTTAAATAATGACACCATGCAGTCAGTGATCCATATGCAGAGGTGGGGTGGGGTGGGACGTCCTGACTGTGATCCATCTGTAGAGAGAGGGGGGCGGGGAGTGTTTTGTCAGTATTCAATGTGTGTGTGTGTGTGTGTGGTTCTCCTGTCAGTGATCCATGAGTAGAGATGGGGGAGAGGAGGGGGTTCTCCTGTCAGTGATCCATGTGCAGAGAGAGGGTGTAATATATTGAACAACAAGCATGGCGGGTTCATAAAATAGTTTACTACGTCATCCGGTTTGGTACATGCGTGTTACGTCATCAATTACGTACATGTGTATGACGTCACAGTTAACCCTTTATCCTACATCTCCCTTCCTCTGAAAGTGAAAACAAACGAAATTTAACACTTTAGTGTCCATTAACATGACGTCACTGTTGACGATAGAGTTAACCCTTTATCCTATATCCCCTCTTCAGAAAGTGAAACTAACTAAATTTTAACACTTTAAAGTCCATGAACATAGAATGTTGAACAGGGCGCCGTTGCACAAAACAACCTTAGCGCTACGACTGTCGTAAGTCGATGTTAAGGTATGGGGGTTACGATCACCTTAGCGCTAAGATCGCTTGGTACAACAGCGCCCTGGTAACTGAACACATGAACAGTTCAATCTTGATATCTTCTGGGAATGTTGACAGGTCTACCAGACTGGCTTTGTGTTTTCCATGGCATTTTCTTTTGGACCGTCTTGGGTTTCAGACTTTACTGTTTTAGTGTCATCTAACTCTGGAGTGATTTCTTGCTTGTCCTTCATGTTGCCAAAGTCTTCCGCTGTTGTTCTGATGTGACGTCTATTTCGTCTGTATGCTTTGCCACTGTTAGTTGTCACCTTGTATGATCTTGGTGAAGGGTCGACTGCTGTCACAACAGCAGGATTCCACCCGCTCTTCTCCTGTACTCTGACATATTGTCCCGGATTCAGGGGAGACAACTCTCTGCTCCCTTTGTCATAGTAGTACTTTTGTAGATCTTGCCTGTATTCAAGTTGTCTTTGAAACAGGTAGTGATCTTGTGCTTGTGGTTGGAGGAGTGCTTTTGACACAGGCAAGCGGCTCTTCAGGCGCCGGCCCATCAGCATCTGTGCTGGCGACAAGTTCACTTTGTACTCAAGCAGGGACAGGTAAACATCTCTTCCACTTGCCTCTGCCTTTTTCAACATCATCTTGACTGTCTGTACTGACCTTTCAGCTTGACCATTCAATTGTGGGTATGTTGGGCTTGATGTCATGTGGGTGAATTCCCATGCCTGTGAAAATCTGCGAAACTCAGTACTTGAAAATTGTGGACCATTGTCTGTCATGAT